GCTCACAACCAACCCCAATAACATCACAGGAGTCACAACCAACCCCCAATGACATCACAGGGGTCACAACCAACCCCCAATGACATCCCAGGGGTCACAACCAACCCCCAATGACATCCCAGGGGTCACAACTAACCCCCAATGACATCCCAGGGGTCACAACCAACCCCCAATGACATCCCAGGGGTCACAACTAACCCCAGGTCGCCGTAGTGACGCATGAGATGACGAACGCTCAGCAGGAGTTCCTCTCCGTGCGTCTCTCCCACGAAAACGAACAGCGGCACACACGTCGGCCCTGTAACAACAGTGAATTAAATACCGGTAAGTGTTTCTTGCTTGTAACGTCAGGGAAATAAAGTAAATAACGGCCCTATAACCGCAGTGAAGTAAATAATTTTTACCCGCTTGTAACGTAAGTGAACCAAAGTAACGGTCCTCTAACAGAAGTGAATTAAGTAACCCATATTGATTTGTAACAACTAGGCATCCTGTAATAATGTAACGGCAGTGAATAAATAACTTTTATTGGGTTGACCAACTAATTTTACAACGGTTTGCGGGCAAGTATCGTAGCAATTATTAGTTAAGTTCGTCCTTGTTTGGACGAACGTTTATATATATGATCTACCTATGATGACGTTGGACGAAAATTAGATAATAGTAGACCTTCGACCCATTTATTAGGGGAAATTAATCGTTTTCAATGCTATTCGTACATAGGAACAAGTAACTAGGTTTATCGTCCTTAGCATAATAATAAATAAATTATAAAAGTAACTATTTGATGCTATTCGTTCCTAGGAGCAAGTAACTTGATTTATCGTTAGTAATATAATAAATAAACAATAAAAGTAACTATTTGATACTATTCGTACCTAGGAACAGGTAATTAGATTTATCGTTAGTAATATAATAAATAAATAATAAAAGTAACTATTTGATACTATTCGTAATCGTACCTAGGAACAGGGAACTAGAGTTATCGTTAGTAAAATAACAAATAAATAAATAATAAACAAACTACGTATTCTATGCTATTCCTTCCTAGGAGCAGGTAAATTGATTTATCGTCGTTATCAAGATAATAAATAAATAACAAAAGTAAACATGTAGTACAGGCTGCAACACTCACCCAGAACGACCAGCGTTGGCCAGCACACGATGCCCAGTTGCCGCCACATGGCTGAGTGGCTGTCATTGATGACCGGATGGCTGATGTCGTATCTCGAGATGGCTGAGGCAAGGTTTGCATGATCTTTCTCATTGCTGAATTTCGCCGAATGAACTCCAACCTTTAGAATGAAGTCAACAATTTAAAATAAATGCTGGAAAAAACGATATATTGAGCTTTTTGACTACTTTGGCAACTTTACTATGGTATTTCCATATACGAATCTCATTGACGATAGTCAATGTATCCGTAAACAACTGTAAATACATTAAAAAAATTAACGTTTCAAGTTTCACGTTAGTTACGATGCCTTCAGTTACGAATTGCATTGACGACGACTTACGTATCAGTAGGCAAGAGTCAATATATATTATAAATACACAGCTAAAGTTTCACTTTAGTTACGCTGCTTTTAGCTACGAATAACTTGAACTTGAACTCTTCGGATGGTTGAGGCCTCTACCAAGGCCTGTTCATCTCTGCAAAGTCGAAGCCAACCCGATTCAATACATGCAGGACCCTAATTCTGACATTCTGGCTCATATAGTGTTGAGGTATAAGCTTGTATTTTATTATCTTACGTGTTATTTTACTTGGGATTCGTCAATTATTGTGAAGTTGCCCAATGCCATTTTAGTTTAGACTTTACGGAAGTCGGAATGCGGAAGGTGTGAATTATTGCTAGATTATTGTGCGGTTGAAGCCCGAAGCGGAGGTACGTAGTGTGTTAGGTCCTGATGTGTATTATTGAATTGCGATATGTGAAAATGATTTGAATCGATGTATATACTATATGTGTGTTCTATTATTTGATTTGTATATTCATTACTTTATTTACTAGTTAGAAGTTTTTTATTGTTCTTTTTACACTTTTAGGAAAGCCTCAAACCAGAGACTCAAACTCGAGACTTAGTCATCTTCTCAGTTGACCAGCACGTGAATGAGTATATTACAGTGGATTGTACATACTGAAACAGATTGTGCAATAAAGTAATTTTAATTAAAGACTATCAGTGAAAATGACCCTATACGATCATGTAGGCCGAGTTGGTGTGTCGATGACCGCAACAATAGTGATGGCAGATTATAATAATCTAAAATAACATTCTAGAAATTCACAGTTCACGATTCTAGCCGCCCACACTGTTAGAAAGATTACCGTTAACGGTATTACCTGCGTTTCAGTGGCCGGTCGGCACGTGAAAAAAAACACCGTGTCGCCGTTTTTATTCTAATTTAACACTAGAAATCCGTAAAACATCTGATAAAAACGGCGAAACAGTTTATTTTCACGGGGCGACCGGCCACTAGAACGCCAGTGAGACCGTTTTTTCGCCGTTTTTTTCTAACAGTGCACCAGAAGCAACACTCACGACGGTGAGGGGTGACGACAGCGGCGGGTAGCGCTGCTCGAGGGCATGCAGCTGTGGCAGGACATGTATGCAGTTAATGCAGCAGTAGGTGAAGAAATCCAGCACTGTGATGCGTCCTTTCAAGTCCTCCTGTATGCTCAGGCTGCGCGACACGTTATACCATTCGCACCCTGAACCCAGAATCATCAACTTGTTTAGATATTAGAAATTAGGGTAAAAATTTCTGCCTAGCAAATTGGGTTACTCGTTGGAAATGAGAGCGAGAATTTATACTCTGCAATTTGGTCTCAAAGAGTATCTACAAGCAGCAATTCAAACGATGATTATTAGACGGTATATAGGTATGCAAGTGATTTCAAGCATTAAAAAATCTTTCTTACTGATTAATTTTAGTAACATAACATGAGTGATTTCAATTCAAAAGATTACAATATTATCATATAGAGGTATAGTATGGCATTAATATTCATTAAAAATCAGCCAACTTACCCGATTCAAAGTCAACCATAGGCACAGGGTTTTGCACGGAAAATGTTTCGATGTGTCGGCTTATAAGTTCGTTAATAAGAACTTCGTTTGTGCCGGCATTTTTAATCGCAGCGAAAAGTTGCTCAGTGGCTGCGGTGAGGCTTGAGATGCTGGATGGTGTGGGCAAAACGCCCGTGTCTGAATCTCCAGACATTATGAGAAATTGTTAAGAATAATCCGCGATGACTGAAAACGCAGTGATTAGCAATGCTTTCAAGCAATTTAATCTGAAATAAATAGTTGGTTGATAAGAATAATCCGCGATGACTGAAAACGTAGTGATCAGCAATGATATCAAGCAATTTAATCTGAAATAAATAGTTGGTTCAAGTTCGATAAACAAACCATGAAATGGGCAAAGTGGACTGGACTAAAACTGGATTTTCATCATACAGAAATCACAGGAGTTGAATAATTATGGGCCATCATTACAAATTTTGACATTTTACACAATATTAAAAATCGTATACAGGAGAGATTTAAATTATTATACCGGAAGATTCATCCAAATCACCATAACTGACGGCATCAATGAAGGGTTTTTAGAGATTGAAGGTATCTTGTCGTTATTAAATGTGAATACTATCTAATTTATAATTGTTTACAGGATTGACTGGAAGTTCTTAGCAATTGACTGGGGCACGTGGGCTCATCAGTTCCCAAGGCGTTGCAAAGCAACGCTCCCTGCGTTGAATGAATCAAGGCCTAGATTTTTGTAACAAAAATATGGCAGTAAATGATAAAAATACGCCAGTAAAATCCTAAAATGACCATTTGACACTCGTAAAACAACCAAGTGATGAAAATCAGACAATTCAAATTCAAGTTTCAATAAGTAACAGTTGAATTCATTCAATCGAATTGAATGCTTCCTATGAAGGGACATTATTCATTTACTGATATTTACGTTATGCATTTGTTTTGGACCACATGGTGCTGTGGTCCAAAGTTACTAACGTTCAAAGAGTCGATGCCAATTGATTATTGATTAAAAAACTGAGATGACTGCAAGGATTATATTGACATTATACAAAATAGGAAGTGTGTACAAAATTCATCACAGAGCGCAAGTCAACATCACTCAAAATGTGAGCCAACTTTCTCGTTGTAACAATTTTATTTTTGGTAATTTTTCGCGTTTCTGAGAACATTTCGCGTAATCGCGTGGGAAAAACTAACCGAATGTTGCCAAATGAATTGGAATTAAGATAGTAACATTATACTCATTTAAATAATGAAATCTCGCCAATAAAATCAGTGAGTTTTTTATTTTACAATACAATACCAGCACGGTTAATACAATTTTGTTGAGCTAAATTTTGGCAATAAGGTCACTCATTATTCAAGGATTAGATTTCTCAATATCGATTTTATCGCCGAGAATACATGCGTCTTGAAGCTGCTTCCACATTTCGTACAGAATAATGCCACTAGCAACGCTCGTGTTGAGGCTGTCAACGGAGTTATGCAGAGGAATGCTAACTTGTTCGCCTAGGTTATCAAGTGCAAACTTTTTAGCATGATTGCTTAGCCCAGTTTCACCGCCAATGACCAAGACAAGGTCTTGCGATTCGGGAATATTAGGAGAGAAGAAGCTAATATCATGGATCAATTTCTGAGGTAGCTTAACGTCGGAGAACTTTTTAAGATTCTCTTCATCCAAGAAAGAGTTATCGATGTAGTGTTCCGTACCATCTTCGGAAACTTCGATGTAATCACCGAAGAATTTTTCTTCCTCAGCTTCGTCCTTTTCATCTTCATCGTCCAAGGTATCTCCTCTTCTCATGACATCTTCACGAACTGATAAATCTGGCTTACTCTTTTTACCGTGAATACGACTTTCCCGTCTCGGCAGTCGGTCTGCACTCCTTTCTTCTTTCACATTTCCATAGTTTCTGCCATTGTCTCCTCCTGCAACTCGGTCATTTTCGTCCATTGTTGCGTCAGTGAGCGGTTCTCTGTCAGAATTTCCGACATCCGCGATGTAGACACAAGGGTACCGCGACATCGCAGTGTAAATACGAGACCAAGCAACACGTTCGCGTATCTCCACGCTGAAATGTCCGCCACAGCCGGCGCGCAGAGCCTTGCTTTCCCATGGGTCACAGCAACCTGGGATCACACAAACGATGAACTTGGCTTATACTTATAATGAAAGCATAGGCTCACGAGAAACTTTAATTATTATGTGATTACTTAATTACTCAACCAACCTTTTTAAATTTATGCTTTATTGGTAAAGTTTATGTGCATGTATGTTTTTGGCTATGAAGCCTGGCGCAGTAAACATAGGTAGATGTTTGAGAGTCGACCAACAATACTTATCGCGTCAGGATTAATTTAGAAATTATTATTATAGGGTTTTTGGTAGAACGGCATTCTTAAATCTTAGGGGTTATACGTATATCTATTCCGTGCAGCACGTGGTCACACCAGAGTAATGTTAATACACGATAAATATTAAATTTAATAGCTTTTCTTTTACACTTGCTTGGAATAGTTGTGATCAACAAAGTCATCAACTTAGAATTTTTCTGTTAATTCCCATATTAATCCATCCAAATTAAATTAAATTGTTGAAGCTCCAAAATTGTCCATAACATTATGAACAGTCATATAATCGTACGCCTATTACCGATTGTATGAATTCCAAATCTGCTTTAAATGATACACACGTTTGTTTACCGGCCAGAACGGTTAGAACTCACCTACGCGTATTACCGATTGTATGAATTCCAAATCTGCTTTAAATGATACACACGTTTGTTTACCGGCCAGAACCTTTAGAACTCACCTACGCGTATTACCGATTTTATGAATTCCAAATCTGCTTTAAATGATACACACGTTTGTTTACCGGCCAGAGAACCGTTAGTAGAACTCACCTTTGGTGAGGACGACCCTCGAAACTCCCACCCCAGCAGCAGTTCTAATCAAGGCGCCCACGTTGCCAGGTTCCCTCAACGCGTCCAGCACCAGAGTTACCCGCCGACCCAGAGGCGTGTGCTGTGATAAAATCATGAGTATTTGAAAATTACGATGAAACCGCGGCTATTAAACGTTGATACAACGGCTATTAAACGTTGATACAACGGTTGTTAAACGTTGGTGCAACGATTGTTAAACGTTGGTGCAATGGTTGTTAAACGTTGATACAACGGTTGTTGTTAAACGTTGATACAACGGTTGTTAAACGTTGATACAACGGTTGTTAAACGTTGATACAACGGTTGTTAAACGTTGATTCAATGTTTCAATAAACTTTTAAATTAAATGCACGTTTCAGTAATGTTGAACTACGTTGATTAAACTTTGTTTCAACGAAATGTACACGTAACCAACGTTTTTCAATGATATTTGCCTGCTGGGATTGAGCAGCTGTTCATTATAAATCTCAACATTAATTAAAAACTCTAATAGCAGGAAATGATGCAAAAAAATAATATTTACGGTTAAATGATACTAGTTCAAATAACAGATTAAAAATAATTCTGTCCTATCACTTACGACTGAGTCAGTGAATTTCTGTACACGAGGCTGCTGTCTCAGTTTATAAGCAGCTGATAGATCACTCAGGTTGAAAACACCTGAAAGCAAATACATTTGTAATTATACATAATTTGGTAAAATAATATCTCCCTACATAATCAATCATAAAATTCTAAATTAAGCAATCAAAATATTGAAAAAATCATAGAATTTCAAATAGAGTTAACGCAAGGAACCTGATAAGAGGACCAACATTTTCAGTGGAGATAAATCATTTGTCACGATTAATGGTTGAACGATTGAATGATTGAAACGATTAATGATTGAATCGTTTCATGATTAATGAAACGATTTTTTCTCACCCATGATGCCCTGTCCAGCGACCACTGAGGACCAAGTCGACATTTTCTTGTAGGCTGTAGAGAAAACATTCATGGCTCTGAGTCGTTCTATTTTTTCATCTGTTGTCATATCCTTGGGCATTATTTTAAGAAGCAGATTCTTGCGGGAGTACATAACAGAGATGGGGCTGAGTCCTGCACTGATCGCCTCCTGCAGGAGTCTGTGTCCTTCCAACAACACGACATTGTACCGATGGCGCAGCTTACGTGAAGCGCAGTGTGATCCTAATACCCTGTTGTATACACAACTAATTAATACAGTGCAAGGAAATCAAGCATCTGTGCGAAGAGGTGATATAAATAAGAGCAAGATGGGGTAGGTAATCTTAATGACAAAACAAGCAATAACTTGAGAAAGCATAAATGCATAACAGTGATACATAGTTCCCATGAATGGATGGTACTAATTGTATTATGCACTTTTTAGCGCACAGGGGTCACAACCTCTGCTATTGTGCTCGTCATGTCCGTCCGTCCGTGACTTCATGTTACGGACAGACGAGATAATGCGCTCACTGTCTGCAGTGAGTACTGATCTAATTTTTTTTGTATCAAAGAAGCTAAAAAAATGTAGGTCTAATAATTATATACATGCACAGGAAATTTTTCATTTTGTGTAGTTGCGATTGAGTTCCTAGAAATCCACAGGAATCAGGACCACATTATTATGTATCAGGAAATACCTAAACCTATCATGAAATACCTACCTAAACTGAGGTGGGGCTTCCTCCAACGGCACATATTTTATGGCTTTTAAAGCCTTCTGCACATCAGGGTCTGTATGTTGTACCTCTCGGTCAATGTTGTCCTCACTGGGAACTTTTCTCTGTTCACTTTTAAAATCTGCAATAATAGAACAGAGATAAAAGTTTAATTCTTCAGAAACAGCCCACAAAAATCTGAACTACATGCACAGACAAGACAGCTAAAGCATTCTCTTTTGAACAAAAATGGGACAATTGTCACATAACTCATTATACTTAAACTCATTTTACAGGTTGGGCATACAGTTGTTTACTAGGGACTCAATTTAACCAAAACGCATTAAGCGTCTTCATGTTGTTACTTTTTTATTAATTACAAGGCAATTTTGAAAAAGTTGTTACAAATTCAAACTGTTTTAATGATCATGTAGTTATTATTAATATGTGTAAACTCACAATATAAAAGGTCCTGCTTTCACACTCAGGAGGAGCAACAGTTTTCTTGGGTGTGGATGTTTACTGTCTAGACTCGTGATATTCTCATCAATTCAACATTAACCTCAGCAAAGAAAACCACAGCATCTGAATCTTCAGATGTGCAACGACCCAAACGTATACATGAGCATATACTCACTGGATGGATGATTGAGAACCTTCTTAACTCCAATAAGTTATCAGGCAATAAAAATCATCCATGCATTTTAAAAATGCATTTTTCAACTTTTTAGCGCACAAAACAACTGCAATATGGCAAATTGAAATGGTTAAATGAACAAGTACAGAGGGTGGTTTGAAATTTTTAGTTAACAACTAAAATATTAATCACAGATGGCCTTTAAGCATATACTAGTATAGGTATATGCTATATACCTATACTAGTATATGCCCAACCGTCTAGCTGCGGGACCAGTTTTTTTTACAGGCAAAGACAATAACGGTATATATAGTTTAAAGTGAATGCAGGACTAATATTCACAGTTCACATGCACGTAATATAGTGTTATATAGTTTATACTATACGTTCATATAGTAGGTATATGATATAACATTTTTTAATCATTGTCACTGAAACTTGAAAATTTCTCCACACAATAAAAAATTCTTATTCTTGCAAAATCCCAATTACCGTATGTTTTAAATAAAATTTCTAAAAATTCAACAATTACCATGGTTTAGAAGTCGATCTTCATCTTTCAGTCTACCCAGATTAGTATCTTCTAAGGTGGCTTTCACAATTTTGTTCAAATTCTTGGTTTCTTCCAGAACATCTTTGTTGAAGGTAGCTGATGTTTTCTTTACATAATCACCAAGCAATATTTTGCCTTCATCTTGTTTGGCAGGATTTATTTTGATGGGTCTGCGATGAAATTTTTTGTAGTACCTGCAAGGTTGATCCTTCATTGGAGCATGAAGGATTGCCTGTAAAATAATCTATATTAATGTCCAGCATTGGAAATTTAATGAGCAGGTTTACGAGAGAAGAGTTCTTCTACTTACATACCAAATTGTTGTGAAAAACTATGCAATTACGAAATATTAATTCTATTTGATAAAAAATTGACTGCACTGTGTATGCACCATTATGCATCACATGTGGCCCACTAAAAATGAGTGGTTTTCTATAAAAAAATTAGATATTATTTTTGTAGGAAACCATAGCTCAATAGAATCAAGTTTTTTAGTGTTAGCTTGCACTGTAGTACAGTAAAAATAATAATTCATTGAATCAAGTCATCCATTTTTTGAAACATTGGTTTCTTATTTGAATGATAACAAAAATTGTTGATTATTCTTAGAAATTTTAAATGTTTCAACAAACTAAAGCTTCAAATGCTGCAACATCTACAAACTCATGGCTCTAAAAGTTCTGACGTAGCTTGTAATAAAAATGTAAAACTGCTCACTGTTGCTCATGACTTGAATATATTGGGGTTATATCAAAATCTCAATTTTCTAAAACACTTTGTTACATTGTTGATAATTTAAAATCCTATGGATGACTTCTAACATTAGCAAAAATGTCATTTTCCATCCCTGAATTACACCTGATATTCCAGAATGGACATCTGGATGAATTTGAAAAATAATATGCGTTTAAAAATTAATTTTTAAAGACAACACTTCCAAAGAATCCAGTGTCTCCAATCTCACAAATGTACAATGAATTTCTCATTTAATTTTCAAATTAAAAATTTAGTTTTTCAATTTTTTTTAATACGTATATAAATTTTTTAATATATAATTTTTTCAAAATTATTTATTCTGTTAATTGATTCATGCATTGCCTCTGACTTCACACAAGTGTGCAAAATTTCAGATCAATCAGACAGGTAAAAGTGTGTCAAATATCAGTTATAAGATTTGTAGCTGGCAAAATTATTTTTTCAATTTTTTTAATATTAAAAAAATTATTTTTTTTTAATTTTTAAAATCTTTTATTTTGACATTTGATTCATGCATTGTCTCCAACTTTACACAAGTGTGCAAAATTTCAGGTCGATAGGATAAGTAGAAGTGTATTAAATTTCGATTACAAGATTTGTAGCAGACAGACAGACAGACAAGAAGTGAAGTTAAAGAGAAGTGTTGTAAAAAAGTAAGGAAAAACCATTTCACAGGTGAATTTTAAAATTTTCAGATATAATATGCCATTTATATTATTTTGACAGAAAAATTAGGCAAAGGCTACCAAGCCCTAAAAGACAGGCCATGGGCATAACAAATATCTAACTGGAAAATGGCCTCAATTTCTTTATTGATAAGCAAGAAAAATGGCCTGTGATTTATGAAATTATAAAAAATTATTGCCTGTGATTTATGAAAATAGCCAGGGAAAATCATAGAAAGTAATTTACATATGTTCTCAATTTTTCAATCTGTGCAGTTTACAGTAATACCGTCAACCGGGGCTACTTGGGACAGATTTGATCGTTTTTTTGTTAATAACTGTTAATAACTTCTTACAATGAAACATTTCATAAACAAATTTAGGCTCATTTTATAGCTCCTTGCGAGGGCTATCGAATGGCATTGTCAAAAAAATTCCATATGCTATTCGTAAGGTGCCAGACACAAAATAAAGATTGTCCCGAGTAGCCCCGTCAGTCGGGGCTACTCGGGACAATGGGAATAAAACTTCATTTCACTTGAAATAAAACTCAATTTTAAAACATTTGAAGCATGCAGAGCGTACTCATCCATTACTAACAGTACTCTGAAGTCCTCCTCTTTCATTGTAGATGATGTAGAGGTAGAATAAATGACATTTCCTGTGATTTTTACTTGTTTTTCCTTTATTGATATGATATTGCCATATACATTAGGTAATTGCCGTATTATTGATGTGCAATTATCGTATTATTGATGCAATATTACCGTATCCATGAACATGCCATTGAGCATTTACAACAACCTTGTCCACTGCAAGCTTCATATCAGCAGACTTATAGCATTTTTTTCGTATCTGTAAGCTTACACGAAGGCTCGTAATTTCACATCATTTTAATTAGCAAATTTACTATAGTAAAAAAGATCATGAAAAACATACCTGAAACAGAAAGGAATGTTTTAGTGACAACCATCATATGTAAATCATAGTTTAGGTCAATTACTTTTCATTCTATGATGCCTGGTGCACAATTCTATATATGACATTCCATGCACAATTTTGTGAGGACCGATGATGCACTAATTTTTTGATTAGTGAAATTTTTTCGCTGAGCAACGTAAATGTAATAAATATTCTTTGTTTTTAATCAATTTTTTTTCTTAACTGGAGCCTTTGCTAACTGAGGTTCTACTGTAAATGCGTTTTTGGGGGTGTCCCGAATAGCCCTGGGGGGGTGTCCCGAGTAGCCCCGCCATGCAGAAATGGCCGCCATTTTTTTGGAATGAGATAGGACAATTCTGTCAATTACATTTCCAAGCCGACACATGGGTACATCTTTTATGTAGGTAAAATTTTTTATTATGGCAAATATTTTTTTTGCTACAGACCTTAGCAGAAGTAACTTTTCAAAATAGCTTTTTCACCATTTTTTTCAGGAATTTTTCAAAGCTAGTATATGTAGTATTTTTCAACTTCCTTTATAGTACTACATAGATAGGAAAAATGTTGACGTTTACACCACTATATTTAGTTTTGCAATATTCCAATTAGTTTTGCTACTCTAACAGTTTTACCCCATGTCGGAGGACTGTCCTGAGTAGCCCCGGTTGACGGTAGTAAATATATGATTTTCTAACTTGCTTTATCATAAAGCAAGTTAGCATCATCACTATCTATGTGGCATAAAGCCTTTATGCTACGTAGATTGTGAAAATGTTGAACTTTATGGTACTCTTTATAGTTTTGCAATAATTTGATTACCATAGTTTAGCTGCTAAAACATTTCTAAGAAATATGGGACAACTGTCCCAATTTACCCTACCTATCCTCTATTACTTTGTTTGACTGTAGTTTCAAGTTAGGAAGCTAAATAATTTAAAATTTAAAAACCTGTATGTTGAACCAAGATGTTAAATTATTATTAAAGTTTAAATTAATATTGAAACTAAAAATAGAGATGATTATCATTAATGGCAGGATAAATAAAAAATATTAAAATTTATTCTAGTAGCAGCCTGCAGGCTGCAGCCAATAATGACAGAATTTGCTAAAATAGCATCCAATGGGTGAATGGACCAGGCATGGAATATATCTACTTGGCAAGCCGCGACTGAATTTTTTGAGCCATGGTTTTATGGATTTGCCAGCAGTGATTTCATTTCTTTGAGCTGTGATTCCATTTCACCTAGCCATTAATTCCATATCTTGGCCATGAAAAGCCATTTATCCATGCACGTGTTACCACAAATCTCTAATTTTACCCCAAAACAATCAAATGGCACCAATAAAATTTGTCTTTACTGTAAGTTGAGCCCTTAGTCCTTAGTCCACATGTTATGTGTTAATGCAGTCTGACTGCTTTGACATGACCACAACTATGCGCGATCTTCAACAAAACAAAATGTTTAGTTGATTTGTTTACATTACGATGTTTATGTTTTTTCTGCAGGATATTTTTGTGGGAACAGTAAAGCAATGCGGATTGTGGAAGTTGAAAATTTGATGAAGTGATACTATGTTTGCAAAGTGCAAACCGCAATTTTTCAATCAAACAAAAATTTATGACATTCGAGCGAATCGAGCCTTGAGATTTCATACCTACTAAAATTATATGATATTAGAGCCGCAATATTTCAGACAAAAATGGGACTTTTTTAGCCCTGCAATGGACCAATAATTTAGGTAGGTATACAAAATTGGAAACTCTCTCTGAATACCTAGGCCTTTATGTCACTCCCAAATCCCAATTACAACTTTACAAATACAAGTAGCTTTAGCTTAGGCTAATGTTCCTGTTTCAAATAGAAACCATCAAATAATTCAAAATTACAAGTGAACTATAATTTTCTACTACTAATTTAACAAATTCAAAATAGCTTTGCTGGCCTGATTAACATTAAAACCCTAATAAAAATTTGGTTCTGGCCAGTATTAGGCTTTTATTTACAAGAGGCAGCCAGCAAGTCAAATGCAATACGAATATCTGCTGGGCGGTGCTTCAGAGTTCAGCCTACATCAATTATCAATATCCCTACATGTGCCATTGATGATCGATGGCAGAAAATAAAAATCTCATTTTTACACAAACTTTTCACCTGTAACTGCAGGACAGGCAATGTTGATGACAATGAGGAATGTGGAAAGAATTTAATACCATTTATTGAGGCATAAACCATTATACACGGATTTAGTCTTTGCAGAAGAGCCATGATTCGACTACTACGCGCTTGCTTGTCTTCTCCAAACGTATCAACAAAATAGGTTTTAGGACGGAATCGAGTCAGACGACCGGTATGCAACAGCGGAATAAACAAACATTCTATATTATTATTTTCGCATTTTGAAAAACATTTTTTATCTTGAGTATCCTAGAATATTTGTTCCAATTTTTTACCAGAAATTACTTTTCAAGTTGAATACATATAATAAAATCCGAATATGTGATTCAAGTAACTCGTATCTTGGAAGTCGGATTTGTAGCTGCAGATCTTAAAATAGAATGAATTCTCTTTCCTTCATCGACAATGATGACTGAATAATGACTACATAGAAAATTTCATTAAGGGTTCCATCTGTATTCGTAGGGTATACATTAAACACCTAATCTAAATTTATCAAACTCACTGACAACTCGCAAATGGACTCAAACGCACTCGCGAGTTTGGCGCAATTTTTCAGTTCATAGCATAATTGATTTTCAATTTGAATTGGCGTTATTAGCATATTTGCCCGGCGTTGCCCCAACTTGTTAGTTCTTGCAATTACGGAATCCAATCCCTTCCATCACTATCGTAACCATTCCCTTTCGTTTCAATGTAAAATGAGCAACGAAAAAAAGTATTATAATTCTTATAGATTTAGATTTCAAATAATTAGCTAAATTAAATTAAAAAGTTCCAATAAGTAATTATCTGAACACTTTCTACCGCAGGCGTTAGAAGTACACCGGTTACTTTAAAGAAAGGTTTATAAAGTAATGGAAACAAGTTTCAACACAGTGAGAACTCTGGCTGCTTGCTAAAGGAGATATTTTTCATGAATGAGACAAAACGTTTTTTCCATCGCAGTTCTTCTCAACTTTGCGGTGCAATCAATAAAGATGTCAAGACAATTCCACAAAAATATGAACATGAAACGTCGTTAAACATGAAAAAATAATTACTAAGTCATACAAGCCAAATTAATACTGTAAAGTCAAATGTATTCTCTAAACACACGTTTTGACTCGTAAAAGTAAGGAAATTGAAGCTATTCATACAATCGACATAAAACACATAAAGACAATGATCAACATTAGAACTTGCAAATGGCCAACAATAACGCTAAATTTAAATATTCAACAATACCTATTTTTCTAGTCTCCATATTCTTAAAAGCTAGTTATGCCAATGCTTGCAATAAACACTTTATACCTTAAAATATATTGAAAGATTTCTTCACAATTAAATTCATTATAGTGGCTAAATATATGGCAGTTTCATCGTTTAGGCCATTATACCTGGCGCCGATTCTTACCAATGCAGAACATTCACCGCATGTTGCGGTCTGGAACACGCAACTCACTGCTCCAATTCTGCTGTGCTCGACCGCTCGGCCTCTGTGCCGATTCTGACCAGAAACTGTCACAGATCTGGGGTGGACCCCGCGCCTCTCTGCTATAATCCTGGTACTCTGAACTGTAACCACTGGGCCACCCTGCCAAATATTATCCAAACCTATATAACAACAAAACTTTCGAAATCACACTAATGAGGCTACAAATCCCACAAATTCCCAGAGCACATTTCTAAGTCTACGAATCATACGATTTCCCACTGCACACTTCTAAAGACCACGAATCATACAACTTCGCACAGCAAAATTAAAAGGCCACGAATTCTGCAACTTCCCACACCACATTTTTAATTCTACCAATCATACGATTTCCCACTGCACACTTCTAAAGACTACGAATCATACAATTTCCCATTGCACATTTCTAAAAACTATGAATCATACAACTTCCAACAGCAAATTTAAAAGGCCACGAATTGTGCAACTTCCCACAGCAAATTTTTAATGTTACGGATCAAACATATGAATGCATAATTCACTGGCAGATGAGGTCAATAGAGTTGAAGGGATTAACGCACTCGCCGATCAGTTCACTAAACATCGTCGGTGGAGGGCAAGACTCAAGCACCAAAGAGAGCTCGGTCTGCTGTGAGTTGCTGCGCTGGCATCGGTGATACGAGGAGCATAGCACCGGTGACTCGTTCTGTGCGGTGCCAGAATTTGCATTTGTAAGGTAAATAAAGTAAATGGTAGTGAAGTACACGTTAATAAAGTGTAAAGTAATGAGGTGTAAGATAATAAAATGTAAATTAATAAAGTGCAAAGCAATAAAGTGCGGAGTAATGGAATGTAAAGGAAATTAGTGCGTAGTAATGAAGTGCATATTAATAAAATGCAAAGAAATGCAGTGCAGTGCAAAGAAATGCAGTGCAGTGCAAAGCAATAAGTGTAAAGCAATGCAGTGCAGTGCAAAGCAATGCAGTGCAGTGCAAAGCAATAAGTGTAAAGCAATGATGTGCAAAACTATGAAGCGAAAACTATGAAGTGAATAGTAATGAAGTGCAAAAACACTGAGTTTAGTTCTAGTTTATTCTAAAATGGCCTAGTTATTCGAATAGGCAGTCGAGAGTCAGTTTTTTAGCGCATTTTCTCATTTATAGAAAAAATGCATTATTGTGCTCGCCATGTCCGTCTGTCTGTCTGTCCGTCTGTCCGTCCGTCCGTCTGTCCGTCCGTCCGTCCGTCCGTGACCTCAAGTTTTCGTTGACTAGAAAATGCGCTCTCTGTCACTCACTGCAGTGAGTACTGAGTTATATTTTTTAGTTTTATAGTTTGAACTTCGTTTCAAATACTTTCCATCTGAATGCATGTTTATTCGTCATGAATTTTAATGGTAGTGATGCGACCTTTGTCAGCTTCCTGGCGATGAATGAGGATTCAGAATTCAGATACGACAGTCAAAATCTTATTAGATGGGCTAATGTCATCTCCACTAATAAATGAATAGACTTCTGTAATTTTATTGTGCCTTATCACGACTCCGGTGATATCTTATTTATATTATATTATGTCCACAGTGAATTTTGAGTTAAATGCCACTATAAATGTAAATGATCATAAGACTTGAGCCAATTGTATCGCACCTAGAGTATATAGGCTTATAAATGTTAATTAAATTTTCATTAAAATTCTTCCCATTTTTTCACTTCAATAATATCTATAGGTATCTAGCGAGAAATGCGTTAGCAATTCTTGTAGAAAATTGCATCGCTAACTCGTCAAACATCAGCTGTTTTATTCGTAATATATTCCAATTTTAATCAATTATCAAAACTTGTAATTAATTCACGTTTCCTTAGTGATCTCTTACCTGCTTAATGGCTGGAGCACCAGGGCAGGGCGGAGGTGTAACGCAGTAGAGCGCCCTCAGGGGCGGCGGTAGCGGCACAACTTGAGCCTCGTGCTGGCACCCTGATGGCACTGGGGAGGCACTGTCATCGCACGGCACTCCACCATCTGGGCCACGGTATGAGCGTTTGTTTGCAATATTCCTAATTATCTACAACCATACTCTACGATTGTTTACAATATTCCTAATTATCTACAACCACATTATACGATTGTTTACAATATTCCTAATTATCTACAACCACATTATATGATTGTTTATAATATTCCCAATTATCTACAACCATACTCTACGATTGTTTGCAATATTCCTAATTATCTACAACCATACTCTACGATTGTTTACAATATTCCTAATTATCTACAACCATACTCTACGATTGTTTACAATCTTCTAATTATCTACAACCACACTCTACGATTGTTTACAATCTTCTAATTATCTACAACCATACTATACGATTGTTAAAAATATTCTTTATTGTCTACGGCCGAATCGCACAATACACAGTCATGCATGCCAATTTCGATTAAAATATCAACGAGTTAGAACATTCATGAGAATTCCAACAGGGACTCAATAACCGATATTTAGGAAAATTTTAATGGTGCACTCAAAGAAATTATTGAGACATTGTCCTAACAGCAATACGTCTTTTGTCCTTGCGTGTGGGTCATCTGAGGCAGTTTGACTCAACAAAATGCCGTATCAGGGTTACGCACTCAAGGTGCGTTATAATATGAACAATTTCACCCATATATTTCACTGTGTGCTGTCCGCAGATATTATTAACGAATTCACAAAATATATAAGATGTTTTCTCCGATACGATGCAAACAGGAAATTTGCTGACGAGACGCCAAATTATAAATTAGCAGCTAACTTCATCCATATGATAATTCGAAAATTGCCTAGAGAAAACGTTTGGGCAGTTGAGCATTTTTAGCATACAATGTATTAGCATTAGTAGTGTAAAAGCCGTTAAATCTTCATGGGAAATTGTTACCCTAATTTATCAACTTTGTTCTAATGAGAAAAACAATTCACAATATTTGGGGGCAAAATACCTGCTCGAGCACCTCGCAATACTCCCAACAATATTACTTACAATTATATTATTACTTCGAAACTTACTTACTTACATTATTTTTTAAATAGAATATTTAGCAACATTTCTCAGACTTAATTTACCAAATGTATCCCGGCAAAATTATTTTAACATTAGATACGATTAATTACTTCTTGTCTCCGGGCAAAATTATATTGCAACATTACATACCATTAATTACTTATAGTCTCCATGCAGGCAAAACCATTTAGCTACATTACTAAATTTTATTATCTATTGTCTCCAGGCAAAATTATCTAACAACATTACTTACAATTAATTATTTACTGTACGTATTCAGGCAATATTACTCACAGTGATGAGCCCCCAGACATCGCGCCTCTTGAAGCACGTAAAACAGGCCCTGGTCGCACGTCCTGTTGTGAGCCATCAACCTTCCCGCCTTGTCCACGCACTCAACGTACGTCTGGCACCCCAACACGGTGATCTATTGAAAAACTTATAATGGCATTGGTCGTTCGTCCTGTCGTGAGCCATCAACCTTCCCGCCTTGTCCACGCACTTAACGTACGTTTGGCACCCCAACACTGACGTCTACTCGAAAAACTTATAACTTAACTCTTAATATCGAAGTTCTAGGAAAAAGAATTACAATATTAAGTAAATTTATCGTGCTTCGTGGAAAAAGCCACGATCGATGGCAACAGATAATAAGAACCGTGTTGGTAGCTGAGGGAAAAGGAGCGAGATGACTATTCAGACTAGAGAATTTGGTGTCATCAAAGGAAACGAACATGGATAAGTAAACAACTAATTTTTTAAAGATTGGCATTATCAAATGTTGGTGAGCTCTGTAAGGATTGTATATATCAATTTCATAAAGTTCAAGCAAATTTCATATCATTGTCATAAAAATTTTTCATTTGTATATTTATTTTTTACATTTTTTTGTGGCGTGAATATAAGCTCACCGATATAATTATTGTATATATCAGTTCACCATTAATCGTTACGTCATGGCACCAGCAGCTGGAATCAGCTTACATATTATATTCATGGCAGCTCACCAACAGGTTGCCGGCAGCGTCACAAATATGTCTATTTCTGCACTGCAGCCTTTCTTCGTCCTTGGGAGTGAGGATTTCACCTGCAGTGCGACATTTTATTTTAGGTGAAGTTTCGTTTCTGACGGCAGAATCTGGCGGATACAAAATGAACTGCGGACTGGTAACGTTGCGTTCAGGCTTGAAATGTTCGTTTCCTGGACGATGTTTTGTATCAGGAAAAGACATGCCCGATACTTGTGACCTACTCCTGTCTGACATTGAAGGGAGTCCAGCCGATTGAGTGTGATAATCGAAATTAGAGCTAAATATAGGCTGCTGAAAAACTTGATGGTCCGCGAGCAAGGTAATGTGGTCGTTGTTCTGAGCATCTGTGTTAAAGACTTCTGTTAGGTTTGGGAATGGGTAATAGAAGTTTAGGTCGTTGATAGACGTTTGGTTAATGTTTTGGTCCGGTGAAGAAATTGGAACATTTTGAGGATGGGACAAGTCCGTCTCGGTTCTGACCATTGCACTCTTACCAGTAGATATGCAAGTGGTTTGCTCCAACTCGTATCCTAGTAGAAAAGTTGAGATGAGATTAGAAGTATGCAATAGTAAGAGAGATTTAAGTAAACGTTTATAGTTAAAGATTTCCACGAAGAATTACGTTCAATGGCTTAAATTCTTTGATGTTACACATAATTCAAACTTCATGCACAAATTAAGTTATGGGAGCATAAACCCGATGTATATGTACGAAAATTCACTGTAAAGAAATAAGATATCATAGAGTCTACAACTATGTCGTCGTAACATATCCTTGGCCGTAGATAGTAAAATGATACCGATTATGAAGATTGAATTAGTTATAAAATTTGAATTGAATTAATTTACGAAATTTAAATATCAAGTTTACCTGAGCCAAGCTGTGATGGGTCTACTTGGTACGGCAGGCAAGTTTGAACGTCAGGGGTCTCCGCGTATGGAACATTGAAATGTCTGCAGTACTGTCGTTGAAATGCCTGGTTGAAGCGGTACAGTGCGCTCTCGCAGTAATAGTAGTGGCTGCACCCGACGAACTTCAAGCCAGTCTCGCATGAGGTGTAAACTCGACAAATCTTCTTGACATGCGAGCAGTGGGACACGGAGAGCCGCAAGTTACCATTGTACTTCTGGCATCCAGACAGGCTTTCTGCAAATAGGAAATTTTGAAACTAATTCATATGAATTATTACAAGCAACCATCTCCTAGGCTTCAAAATTGTTTGCAAGAATATTTTACAGTAGTACAGGACTTCTGTTTATAACATAGATTTGGAACTGATATGCTAAGCATCTTCAAATGTATTCTCGTCACTATGATAGAAGCCATCGTGAATGGACCGAACTTCATCAAATATTAGGGCACAAGTCTTTAAATGAATACGCATTGCAAAATTTTAACTATCTTGAATCGTCTACGAACAGCCGCTCAAAAACAGAATTCACTTTCGAGTAAGCCATAAAATTGGTTCTTTTATTCCAGAGTTTTGTTTTTTTTTTAATTTATTTTAACTTGAATAACTTGAACGCTGTCACCCTGATGAGCCAACTCACCAATGGGTGAATACTGGCATCGTTGAGCCAGCATATCATAAAACGGGCACATTGTCACATCGCGCCGAGTTCCAGCATCATTTCTGATCTGGCAAGCCCTTCTCGGCGCTCTACAGCTCCGTGCGAGGACTAAAGCACCTCCCTCCAAAGGACACGTTATGGCGTCATGACACTCCTGAGGCGTCCCTGCCAGACGCGCCTCACACTCGATTTGGACTTGTGACGCGTCTGGCAGCGGCGGAGGAGGCGTTGGGTCGTCGCATAGGTACGACACTGCAAAAGGCAACGTGGTTAAAAACAAAACAACAACAACAACAACGAGCTAGTTGACGCTCCGAGTATGAACGCCTTCAATAACAGACTTAGACGAAGCGATGCAGGAGTATATGTTCAGTCTTAAAATGCCTAGCAAATTACGGACCAGGCAATAAGACCAGCTGCTATCTCAATCAATCGTCAGTTATGGAAAGATCGGGTTAAAAAGGCCGGATCCCTTGTGAATCAAGTCACGAAAAGTACAAGAATCGGCAACAGGTCATGGGCCTACTTCTTCAGCGCCGACATTTCTATTCTATTCTTTTCTATTATTGATCGGTGCGACATTACCAATTGGCCTCCATTAATGCGATGGCATCTTTCCAACGGTTAGGGCAGACTACACCTACACAATAAGTTGAACTACAGCAGGTGATTAATAAATAAGAATTTAATTAACTACACAGCGTGGTCTGGGGCCCATGTATTTTCGGTAATTTTATGCATAACTCGTACTAGGCAAGCAGGCCAACTCGACGCCATCCCAAAACGAGCCGACGGGACAAGCGGGCGACGTGATGCCGCTGCAAGTTCGGGAGGCGCCCAGACATGCCTTGGTGACGAACGCCTGGTGGATGCCTGGCGAAATTATTTTAAAATTACTTCTTCTTTTTTAATAGAGTTCCATTAAATGTTTTACTTCCTATATGGACCTAAATAATAAAAGCGCTTACATTTTTTTAAGAAGTAGAAGTTTCTGCATTTCTGTATAGCATGAAAAAAATTTTGATCGCATCCTGTAAAATTTTGAAATCCTTTCCAAAATTGTAGTATAAATACTTTCAAAATCTTTCCTATTATATTCCGTTCAATTTTGAACTGCATTATAAATCTAGAATTATAAAAAAAAAATATTTATTTTTCTAAATTAACGAAAACCTGCTCGAGTTTAAAAAAAATACTTACGCGGTTCACTGACTGGTGGACAAATAAGTTTCGTTTGACACGAGTTCTCCGATATATAGCACTGGTCCTGATATCCTTCGTCGTGAGAAGCTATCTGACTACCAGGACCAGTTTCAGTTCCTGTAGATGGAAGTGTGGATACTGGAAGAGCAGGAGAAAATCCCGTAGACTGAGATATGTTAAATTGTGGCCACAATCGAGAATTGTAGTAGATACATGAAGTTCTTTGGCCGTGAGGTACGCACGCTTCTGAAGTCTGATTGAACTCTGATCCCGGGTTGCACATAAAATATACCTTGTTGAAGTGGCCGTGTCCATGCAAATCAAAACATCTGCAATGAACGTGAAAATCAACCGTAGTGTATATTTATTTTATTAGTGTATATTAGTGTTGGCACTAAAAAATAGGCCAAGCTGGGCCAACGAAAATAACGAACGAATAAGCCAACGACTGCAGGGTTTTCACTGTTATTTCATATTTAAACGTAAGGCATGCCTGCACGTTGAGTAAAAAGCAGTGGTTGCTTGGTGCTAATATATATTGGATATCACAGTATTCGTGTATGGACAAATAAAAATATTATAAATATTAAAAAAAGAAATAATAGTTGAAAGAGAACTTTACGATAACGTCCTAATAAATCTTGAATCATTTTGAATACACTATAAAAACCTAATGCAAGTCCACGATTAGATTTCCTTTGCATTCTCTAAATCTTTATGGACAGAAATAGACGCAAAAGAAATCGGGTTCATTTTTGCGTCGTTTGCTCACAGATTTCTCCAATGTTTTTCATTTCCATTCATGCCCCGAGAATTCATCACTTTTACGCAGGAGCGAATGAACAAAAATCTTCACCTGTAAAACCAGTTACAGAAAACCGGATGTGCGAAAATTCCGCTCGTCGAACACGGCAGCGATGCCTGCACCGCGGGGTCAGGGTATCGCCAGTCTGTGGTTAGAGGATTGGATGAAAAAAAAAATAAAGCCTATTCACACTAATAAATGAATTGGCCACATTGCACTACTAGTGACACACATTCCTCATGTAAATTTTATATGTCTTTTTGCCGAGAAAAATTCGGTAAGGATCACTCACACAAGGGTAAAATTTGTCCAAATGCATCGCAATTTGGACAAATCTAACTCATTTCTCTAGATGAAAATAATATAACATCATCAAGAATTCAAGGTGTAGAACGGGTGGATTATATTTGAATTAGATGATTGAGTAATGGACTGATAGTTGATATCTATAATATACTATTCATTGATCTATCGTACCTGATAAGATAATAAATAGATAATAAATAGATAAATAAATAACTTCGTTCCGCCTTAAAGTTTATAAGATGATGCACCTAGAAAGCGTGGAAGTCATGTACTAAACAATTTCACTTTAACATCCTGTATACCTTAAAAAAATCTGTACAGCAATTGCTAACATAATTTTTCACTCTCAAAATTTTCCATCCAGCCCCTGCAAATTTTGCCGAGCAATATCATAATAAATAACTCATAAAAATCATGCGCTTATTGGTTACTCTATACTGGTTTCTTATCCATGATCACGAACCCACGGTCCCGAGCGGCGAGCATTGACCTGTCACGGTCAGCAGTGCGGCAAGCAGCACAATCGGTAGCGTCAGGCTGAGTGACGTCAGACGAACGAACATCTGTGACCGTTACGGTTCAATTAAAAACTAAATAATTATCTAATGAATGTGATGCAAGCATTTGCGGTGGTCAATTTTAATTGAATAAAATTGATAAATGTCCGATAATCTAATGATGAACGAGGGACGAACATCTGTGACCGTTACGGTTCAATTAAACAGCTAAATAATTATCTAATGAATGTGATGCAAGCATTTGCGGTGGTCAATTTTAATTAAAAAATGATAAATGTCCGATAATCTAATGATGAATGAGGGACAAGAATCTGTGACGGTCACGATTCAATTAAAAATCTAATTAATATCTAATGAGCTAATGATGAATTGTGATAGAGCATCTGTGGCGGTCACAGTTCAAATGAAAAGTCAATTAGTGCGTATTAATGAATACTCGACCAGAATTATGCGAAGTGAATCAATGAATCTGTTGGCTACTGCAATTTTTAATGAGGCGAATAAAAGTAAAATAATCGAGTGAAAAGTACGCGTTAACAGCGATTTAAACCTAAAAACAACGAACATAGGAGCATCTAATTTCTCATAAGAAGCGGTGAAGTTATGATCCGTCATAAATGATAATGAGAACAGAATTTTTGAATTGCTGGGAAGTTAATAATATTCTCTAATAATAAGAGTAATAATAATATTATTCAGATATTTTTTCCGTTTACGTTTAAAAACTGTTCACGTGTTTCGAAATGAAAATTTTCAGTCAAATGACATGATTTTTGTAATTCAGAAGAAAGAAAGTTCTTCCCTTTTAGCACGCAGAAATTTACTAAGAAATCTCTAAATTCCTGAATAATATGAAAACTGTCATTAAATTAATGAAATCAAGCATCGTACATTACGTTAATGGTTGAAAAGAAAATAGAAATAATTTGACTGTACGATCAAAAGCTTATCGATCTTATACTTAATTAAACAGTAGAGAATTATAATTTGAATTACTAGCGTATAAAAATACATAGCATGTGCTAATGTACATTACAAGATTTAGTTTCCAGTTGAAGGACAAACTCTTACGTTTGAAGTTGCAGCGAAGGCTTGCGAGAGGAAACTGCTTCTTGCTTCTATAAATGAACGTTGAACACAGAAAAACATTAGCTTTTAAAAAGCACCAGTTTTAAATAATGACAAGAAAGGTCTATCATTTCGAAAAGTGAAATTAATTAATGAACAAATTTAAGTAAATAAATAGACGTGAAATCTCCCACCGACGTCATAAGTTGCTGAGGCAGTTTCAAGAGTCTTATAAATTCTTATGTATGTATCTATGTAATTTAGTCTAATTACACAAATTATTGATAAATTCAAGAATTTGATTCCTACAATTAAGCTTGGGTGTGATCCGGGCACCGGACGCCGAGTTACTGCAGTCCGTCGAGCGCCAGAGTGCGGCATGCGGTTGACCGCAGTTTTCCCCAAGCCATCGGTCAATCAGTTCGGGGTGAGACTATAGGGTTAGAACACATGGCCGGAACGCTATAAACAAATTATAATGAATTAAACTAAAAAATGCAGGGACGATAAGGTTAACTTTACATTTGAATACGAGCCGACTAATTTATTTATAGTGGAAAATGAGGGATAAATTTCAAATTTGATTCAGTCAACTCTTTAAAATTGCCATAATAATATGATAAAATAAATTTGAACTAGAAATGTTCGTGTAATTTAATTAAGCTGATATACTGTAGAAAAGTGAAACATGCGCGAGAAGTAAATGCAAAACATTCTGCTAAAATTATGAGCGAAGGAGGAATCACTTAAATGAAACGTGTCAATTCTGAAATAATATACACTCAGGAAGATTTATTTTATTAAAATAATCATGAGAACATGATTTGAAGAATCGTACATAATTCACTAATCCGGCATAATTTTTACAATTGTGATTTGAACTTCATTATTTGCATAATTATTTCGAATGTATCACGGGTATTTAGATTCACGAAAAGAACACACGATCTACAAAGTTAAATATATTTTAAACGCAAAGTCGCATCTAAAAAAATGCAGTTCAAGACAAGAGGTTAGGAACTTCGGCGAAGTGCACATTTGGACGACTGAGTCAGAGAACATGCAGCAGTCACCCTGCCATTGCATGTTTATCTCGTATTTTAGTCTATAGATATAGAAGATTTAATCGTAACAATGAAATCGAGTTGTAAATAAGGCTAAATAATGCGGACGGTGAACCCTAAGCAAGTTACAGGTTCGGCCCGATAACAGGCTCCGTTTAATTAATGCAAAGAGAGATGTTCGACTATTAAAAACAGACGGTTCCTACTTGTATTTAGTTACTTTTTAATTTTAATGTCGCTTCTCTCCTCCTGATAATAAAAAGCAGGAGATATGTACGTGTTCGCAAATAAGGAAACAAAAGTAATAAGTTGAGATTACAGTTTCTTCAACACGCAAAATAAATTTTTAGAAACTAGATTGAGATTGACCAACATAATAGTGATTTAGAATAATATCGTACAAATTAATGGTGATCATGCTTGAACATCTCTTAAATAGTACCATTACTGCTGGACTTCGATTCTATCCTTCACCTTGAGTCAATGATATCTATCTTCCTGTCGGGGCGATGTGGAATGCATGAATATTGATGCCTAACTGCATAAAGAGTCCTCTGTGTGAGCGAGGATATTATAAATTCGATTTCTGCAAACACATAAGTTTCAATGTAACACACTTTAAAAATTAGAAAATGTCCCGTTGTTTAGTATTTGATAAATGAAATAAGTTTGATAAAATATTTCATTGCTTTTAATTGAGAAATTGATTGAAAAATATTATCAGTTATTAGGGAAATTTAACTTTCATTCGGATGGGTAAATTTAATTTCGCTGAGACACGTGACTAAACAATTAGTAGGCTACGGGAAGATTCACTGCCGCAAGTACATAAACTGTATCAGCAATAGAAGACAATAAACTTTTTATTATTAGAAGAGGTTTATTGGTTTTTTCTATTGTCACGGCCTCCAAAATGTATATGCCTCCACAAACTTGCACCGAAAATCGCAGAAATTTAAGCCGACATGACACCAGACATAGTTGACGAGTATAGTCATACGAGCGATTTGCTAAGGTATTACAGGGCCATTTTAAGTGTATTAAACTAGAGTGGACGTTGCATGGCCATAATCTAGAATAGCATAGGATCGAGCATAATGTTTTAGATCAGCTTAAATTCGTGGGGGTGTAGGCTTACATTAGATCTGGTGTACCTGCAACCTGAACCAAACCTAAACATTTCAACCATCACCCCCCCCCCCCTGCAAGAAAATAAGTGACATGGTAGTTTTTGACAATAAATGATTTACTATTACAAACGAATATTGTACAGAACTATTCCATTAGCCATTCTCAAAGAAATAATCACCTTCATTCTACATTATAAAATCTATATTTATAGATTCAAGTACTAAAAAATAGATGTATGAGTAGCGAGTACAATTCGACAACTCATAGCAAGGTTTTTCTTGTGTGTTCCAGAGTCTGAATTTCATGTATGGATGAAGCCGAGACCTAGAACGGGTGAGATCGATTAACACGTTATTGTCAACAATAATTCTGAAAAGGTGTCTCGGAATTTGTGCAAAATGGATTGTCCGAGATTAGGTTTATAACTTGAGACTCAAGTCTCAATGCCTATTTCGGAACGTTCGATATAAAGAAAGGATCAGACACTAAATACGAACTAGCCTTACCGTCAGCATGGTTTCAGTCTTCGTTTAGTGCAGTGGTTCCCAAACTTTTTCGGGCTAGCGCCCCCTTTGGCTCCCTATTGAATTTCTAGCGCCCCCCACAGAAACATATACATATAAAATCATGCGCCTCTTACTATAAAATTTAGTTCGCTGCAATTTTAAAAGATAAAGGTTAAACACAAATGTCTATTTCATAAATAGGACCCCTTTTAGTGAACCAATGTGTTTTTCAGCTGTTTTAACTGTTTCAGCACTAGAAACCTAGGACGTCTCGGGCAAATTTACGGCCGGACTCGTGGCCGGTCTCACGACCAATCTCCAAATTCAGTTATCAAGGAATATCTCCCAAACTAATGAACGCAGCTCAATAAAACTCGGAACATGTATTCATCAGAACTTAACGGTGACGTTTAGCTTGCGAAAATTTTTTTAAATATCACCTTCATTCGTGAGTTATATTGCGATACAGGCCGAAATTCGCAGTGATCAAAGAATTTCTTCCAAACTACCGAACAGATTTGAACGAAATTTTGAATATATATTCCTAACTACCAAATGGTGTTTTTTTAGATAAAAAAATTATTTTACCGTCGTTTGCGAGATTTTTTTCATTTTACCGTCACTCTTGATTTCACACATCCTTATTCGCTTTCGTTCGCAAGTTATTCAGATATAGGAGAAACGATCGGCTTTTCTAACGGCTGGTTTAACCAAGAGCCGTTCACGTATAGCCGCATAACTCACAAATGAAGGCAAAACGAAAAAATTGTAACGAGTTGAACATCACCGTTGCTGAGGTTAGGTATTAAAATACTAAATTTCGTTCAAATCTGTTCACTAGTTTGCAAGAAATTTCTTGATTACTGCGAATTTAAGCACGTATTGCTGTTTAAATCACGAATGAAATTCGTGAACGAAGGCACAATCGAAAAAATTTTCACGAGCTAAACATCACCGTTCGGTAGTTAGGACTGTAAATTCAAAATTTCGTTCGAATCTGTTCAGTAATTTGGAGGAAATTCCTTGATCACTGTGAATTCGGCCCGTATTGCCATATAAGTGTGGCAAATACAATTGAAGGCAAAATTAAAAAATTTTTCACGAGCTTTACATTACCGTTAGGTCCTAATGAATACGTGTACCAAGTTTCATCGAGTTAAGTTTATTATTTTGAGAGGTATTCCTTGATCATTGAATTTGGAAATTGGCCGTGCGACCGGCCGCGAGTCCGGCCGTTAATTTGTCAGAGACGTAAACCCACGAGAGGTTAAAAAAATATAACTCAGTACTCACTGCATTGAGTGACAGAGAGCGCATTTTCTCGTCGACGAAAACGTGAAGTCACGGACGGACATACAGACAGACGGACAGACAGACGGACGGACGGACATGGCGAGCACAATAGTGCATTTTTTCCATAAATGAGTAAATGCGCTAAAAACAGATCTGGGTGAAAAAAAAACCATCGCTGGGAGTCATGTGCTGCACATGTTGTGTACAAATCGTCAAACAAACGTTCGAACTTCTGACTTCGACTTCGGACTGCCGCCCACTCTATCGCCCCCCTATCGCCCCCCAAACGCCCTCTTATTCTTTATCGCCCCCCAAAATCTTTCCATCGCCCCTAGGGGGCGATATCGCCCACTTTGGGAACCACTGGTTTAGTGTGAACACTGAACAAGCCTGCTCATTTCACTCAAGTCAATGTATCTTATTGGTTATTGCTCCTTTACAAATGATATACTGGAAAAGGTGAATTAATATCAATATCGTTTAATTTTAACGTTTACACTTTCTGTCGAACAAAACTCGGAAACCAAGATGTCACGTACGGCCTACTGGTGGTTCAAGAACCTAATTTTGGAAGCGTCGTTTCAAGACAAATCACCCCTTCACAGAGTTATCGACTTCACGTTACTTAAAACCCGACTTCACGTTACTTAAAACCCGAACTATTTATGTGTATGTTCAATTTGTGGGGACCATAAAACACGGTAATGCTCTAATCTCTTGAAATGTATCCTCGAAGTATCAGCGCTGTTGTATCTCTTTGATTAATCTTCGAATGGTAATTCGCAGCCTAAACTGACAAGCTCTGCACCCGCGGAAATGATGCAAGCTCTAACTTTTTGTGCGCTATTTTTCGTTCTTTGTGATAAGAGAAAAAATATGAATTAGATTAGTCCAGTGAGAACTATCACTGAACCATGTTTTAGAGTAAATTCCGCGCCATCGTGACAGCTGCATAGTGTTTTCGTTCGAAGCACCTGCCACATGAAAGGCTGAAAAGCGAAATAAGTTTATTTCTCAACGCAACATTGCATTTCAGTCCTTGAAAAATAAACGATTAAAATATACTGGGGAGGTTTCTGAAGTATTCCAAAACAATGAACATGCATGAATGGAGATCTGTCTAAAATATTTGTCCGGCGTTGTTGGAGTGTTTGTAGGAGACAGTAATTCGACATCGTGGTCATCAGCAAGCCTTATAAATCTCACGGCACTTCACTTTTTACATCCAAATTGTTCAAATGGCTTCGTCATCCGCACATAAACCAACTACTGCGATATTTTCATCTGCTTAAAGCTATTCCGATGACGGACCGTGACCAAACGACTCAATCGATGATAGATAAATTCCACAAATTAAGGGAAATGAGACATAGCTTATTAAATGTTTCTTTTATTAATGAAAGAAGCATGAAAATTGTTGTCATGTATACTCGCAGGTGCAGCTCCACATTTCGCTGCCGCAGCCTCACCTTTACTTAAAACATTACATTAATTTCACGACTGGTCAGTGCGTAAAACATAAGCTAGTTAATTGTACTGGAGCCTACAAAGACTCACCCATTTCCATGCATTACTCTCACTTCCTTGCCTCCAGAGGTATCTGGACCCAGTTTTAGCAAGAATTAGTTACATTGTTAACTTATCAGATGAAGTATACAAAAAACGTACATAGGAACATTTTCCATTTTGCCGCGGGTTATTGTATATTATAGTTTTGAAGACCTGTTCGCTGCGTTCGAAGACCGAAGGAAGAATCTCCTACGAAAGGTAATTTTAAGCCGTTGATGGACGCATTTTTGGTCGAGACATCGATTTAACCTCAGAATATCGAGGAAATATTCGCACATTGATAACGGTTACGTCGTCTTTCAGACAGTAAATAGCTAAATCATTGCGCAAGCTAAGCTAATGAACAAACAATAGGATACAATCAATTTATGCTTGGAGTGCAGTGTTGAAACTGAATTATTGCTCACGACCGTGATGAACATCCTGAGTTTTGACGAATTATTCTCGTAAATAAATTCCTGAAACTATTTTAGTGAAAAAAACAAAAATCAATTAACGAATTTGAACAGAATCACTAAAGTTGAAAATATATTGCTTTCGAGTCGTCACGAATTCGATCGAAATAAGTATGTATAAAAATGATTTTATACATACTTATTTCGATCGGGAAAATTTTCGGGAAAGGTTTCAAGATCACGTGTTCATGAAGACAATTAATTATTGTCAATAGTTCCATATCAAAAGTTCGGGTAAAAATATATAAAAAATTTTGAGGAAGAAGGTTCAGTAGCAGTTTCCTCAGCCTAATATCAATCAAGGAATATCAATTCAACTTAATCAATTTGGAAGCTTAGTTTATGCACATTTTGTTCCGATAGATTGATATTTGAGAATGAGAGATTCAATTGATCATTTCGTAGCTGCTAAATTCCAAACAAGACGACTACACCTATAAATGAAGTACAAGCGAGGATGCAAGTATGTAAATTAGAGTGAAAAAACAGCATAAAACGTAGCCATCTATCAAGACTCACGGTTTCAACTTGAGTAAATCGAATTTAATCAAAAAATTTTGCAGAAAATTGTAAACATCAAAAGAAACGGAAAAACATTTTGATATCAACGCATGAATGTTAAAGAAGAACGAAAGAATGTTTTACTTTACAAAAAAATAGTGATGAGCAAATTCAGCGTTACGGTATAAATTTACTGATAATAAATTTCCACCATATTGAAGAATATCCAAGCTGGACTCAGGGTCCAAGAATGAAAAGGGAGATAATTTTCTGAAGTAAGGAATCACTTAGGATTTATTTAGTGACAAAATGAACACAAAATCTATGGTTATCGCATATAAAATGCACAAACTCTTCGCAGCAACATTTGAAACGATTAAACACGATGGCTTCAGTGCTCATAAGGCGTGCAAAGTAAGCAGAATATTATTAGTCATATTAAAATGCTGTGCAATAACAAATGTGATGATAGCACCTCTTAGCATACCCTGCACCGGGTTTTTTTATACACAACATAGGCTAAAATTATGATCAGTGTCGTATCAGCGTCCACGTCGAAACGTATGTGAGATTAATAATTTCATTAGGATGGAGTAGTGTTTCGGAAATTGAAATGAAAAGTGGAGTTTCCAACGATCATATTTTTAAAGAATGCTTGATTTGCCAACGCGGTTGAGTTCTTTAACGGTAATCACAAGCAGGGCTGTTCGTACCAAACGCATCCAGGCTTTTCAATCAATATGAAGAATACGATTAGTGATTTCGATATAATTTCATTGATTTAACGGCCAACTTCCAAACAAAACTTTAAATCTGGGGCGACTCTAGAACACAATTGGTTTAGCACTAGGAGCCGTACTATAAAAAATAGTTACGAGTTTATAATTCCGTAAGCCAATCACTGACGGCTTCTCGAACTTAACCACACAATCACAGTCGAGAAATTAGCCGCTACATTTACCTATATGGCTGCACGTGTATTTATGCCGCCATGTGTACTTAGGTGATTTCTTATAGTACGGCCCCTGGGCATTTAAGAAATTCGTGATGCCCTGGTATATATATGCATAGATGCAAATTTAGATCTTCATCAGACGGAAAAGTAGCGACCATGCATATAACTCGTGGAATTTATCAACCTGAAAGTAAAAAAATCAGCATGGATAAGGAATTTCTTTTGATTGGAAATCTTGCGCTTACCTATCGAATCCAAGGCGGCGAAATAGTTCATATGTATGGACACACAACTAAAATTATGATAATATAACACGAGTTATCTTATTTAAAATAACAAGTTAGTGGCAACGCATTTTTTTGTACAATCGTAACAAAGGCGGATAATAATATTTAGGCGCGTATCTACAGCATTTTCTTATAAAAGAAATAAAAATAGAAGCTCTGCAAATTAATCTTTAATTATTCAGCAGTAGCAAGATTACTTACTAATATTCAAGAAGTGAGAGTAATTTATTTAGGTACAACATAAAATAGATAATGTGCAATACACAATAAGGAAAAGTAATAAAACAGCGTAGAGCAGCATTAAAAATGACGGGTATTGCTTGCACAAAAATAACGCTTTGCTTGAATGGCCCGAGGCTACAACAAAGTTATTATGCCGTCAATAGAGCTAATGTAAATTAATGAACGGTAAAATATACACTATTAATAAAGCTAAAATACCAGAAAACTGCTGACTCATAATAGTTACAAATGCATAGCTTGCTTCAGGGCACCCAAGGCAGTTCAAAAAATATGTCCATTACTTGCGACTCTTCTTCAACATATTAAATAACTATTTAGAGGTTAGGAAAATATTTTGAATGAACAACAAAGAAGAAATAACAGTAAAGGTGTGAAATTCAGCACCAGATATTGTATGTTTAAATATTTGGTGCTTTTTGCGAGCGTATCAACGTCCATATGTCCAAAAAATGTTCCACAAAAGCCGAAAAAATTCTACCATGACTGCATCGAAATCGTGTCAAGGTTAGAGCCACGTTCATTGCACAACTGTCGCCTTTTAGCTACTTTAACTGAATAAATTCTCTGTGAAATTTCGAAACCGACACATTTCACAGAATCAAACAGCAATTGCACATATTCAACTTGAAATATCATGATATGCAATATAACATAGCAATGCGAATATTGATCGTCGGCAGCGATGCGAGAAAAATCGGTATAGAAAATAACTGCGGTGAAAAGCAATGCCCTGTATAGTTTATTATTTATTAAATCAAATATGTAAGAATCATTACATTATGCACGCGTTAGTTGGGTAAAAAGAACCAGAGGTCGAGCGGAGTGGCACCAGAGCTCATTTTGTAAATAAACTTAACCTTATTTTGTGATTGAATAAAATTTTACAGATGGTTTACTCGTAAACGTTTCAAAGAAAAGAACTATGACAGAGAAATTATTTGCGATGGCTTTGCAGGCAAATGAATTTACATATAGTTCCTAAATAATTTCAATAAAAGTTACGTCAAGTTACTCGTCATAAGTAGATATATAACTTTTATTCATGGAATCAAGGAAGAAAATATACATAGAAAAATCAGACAAAAACATTGGCATAAATTTCATGAGCCTTCAGTTCCATCTTACAATGAACAGAAATAGGTTTATTTTTTAATTTATTGAAAACGTACAGTCAAGGCTTCCTCCTCGTACAGAACGATATGAAGTAACCAATGCTCATTCGCGCATGTCAGACGTACTTCTTCAGAAAAAATATACAATTAGTGACAATGTTAATTAAATTCATTCATCTGATTAACTTAACCCGTTAATTAGTATGCTTCGTCAAAGAATTAATATTGCTCATCTCGTTTGTTTAATTAGAGTCTTGTTGATTCCTTCGTTATCTTGATACATTCTAAAGATTTTTACAAGTAATTTCTATATATATATCATTAATAATGAACGTTACACTCCATGCTCTCTACATTTTAATAATAACAATAAATTGTAATATTGTCTACAGCACGTGAACCTCTCCTAACACATTCAAGTCCATACAATAGCTAGAAATTTTTAATTAAGAGACGTAAATCTGATGCGACCCGAGATCGTACATAATTACAGCAACTTCTACCCTGATCTCGGCCACGGGCCTTGACTATGTTGTCGTACATTTTGCTGACTACGTTGTCGTACACTTTGCTGACTATGTTGTCGTACACTTCGGTGCGACAACGCGCCATACTCTTCTCTTGTCTATGGACCAGAATTTGGTCGAAGAGAAATTGGATCGCATTCTGACTTTCAAATAAACCTTGGCAAGTTTCCTGATTACTTCTCTATTCTTGAACGAAAAATTGGCAAGTTTTTTCCTAACTGTGATAACTTAACTCGGAAATTTTCATATGTTCTACGTAGACTTGGCTCGACTTCCCCTTATCAGGGACTAGGGATTGTAAGAAGAAGACTCTACTGCTACACGTTTAATTATTTACCTACGCATTGACTCATAATGCAAGAAAAATTCGTGTATGAGTATGAACTAGAGTATGTGGACCGCCAAGTTCAACACGCACACAAAACAACATCAAGAGACTCAGCTTCGCGGCGAGTCATTGAGCGAGTGAGATTCACTTGGACACCAGACATCCATATTAAAACTGAAGCACGAAACCTCTGTACTTTAACTTTTACAGTGAAACACCTAAGCTATCTTTTTAGTTCAGTGATGAAGCACATGTGTCATCTATTTGCTTTGACTTTTACGGTTTCAGTTTTTTTACGTACATGGTTAGGAAAAATTGACTTCAAGTCCTCAAGATGAAAGATTTTTGTTTAAAACGTTGAAGCGAGGTAAGTCTTCTTCAAGAAAACTACGGAAGAACGTTCTTGATTCTGGGCATCTGGTTTTTCAACATTTCCCTTTTAAACGTTATTAATTCTGTTCAACATCTCATGACTAATTATGAATCCATTCACTCACCACTTTGTTGATACTCATTTGAATAGCCTGGACTTGTTGAACATCGGAGTTCATTTTAAATATATTTTTTCCCGTTTACATTCGATCAAATCTGAAAATGTTAATCGGGAACGAAGTTGAACGCTTGTCCATGAGCCAATAGAGTGCAAAATCATTACGCTAAGGTTTTCCCTTTACAAAAGGTTTGCTCTGTCGGCTGCTGTCATCATAACCTTTACACAAGGCTAGCTCTGTTGGCTGCTGTCATCATAACCTTTACACAAGGTTAGCTCTGTTGGTTGACGTCGTCATAACCATTACACAAGATTAGCTCTGTTGGCCGACGTCATCATAACCTTGGTGACAAAGTTACAGATGGCGGTGGCAGGCTGCTCTGGCTCCAACTCTGCCAGCACATGGCACTGGTTTTGGTTTCTAGCAGTTCCCTTCTTCGCAACAAAACCAAAAATTCGCCTGTAGGAGAAAAGAAGATATCGAGATGTAATATGAACAAATATGACTCAATATCGTCAGTTATGGAACACAAGTCAATGATCAAGGCTTACTAAAATTGCATCAGTTTAATGACAAGTCTGGAGCAAGTCTTGATTCCTTGATCAATCAATTCCCCAGCCGTTAGCAATAAAGCAACACTTGTCCAAAAACATCTATAACAGCGAAGAGAGTGGCTGGCATATGAACGCTTTTTGTCAGCACCATCTAAACTTCCCATCCTTCCTTTCATATCTTTTCTGCTCTCTGGAGACCGATTAATGAAAGCTTCCCTCATGCACTCAAAAAAATTAAGAGATTTTGTCCAAATAGCGATGCACTTCTTGGTTCTTGCCCTTGTATAGGCCACAATGACCCAGCTTTTCGCGGAAAAATTACGTATCAGTGTTACCTGCCCAAACTTTGTCGCTATTTGAAAAACACGACACTTGCAATTTTTGCAGTGCGTCCAAATTCAGCCAACTTGTTGCGCCTCTTCTCGCAAACGTCTTCATGTTTACCGGCTCAAACGGGGAGGGTGAAGCGGAACACTGCAGGGAGATTTCCAACCGCGCCGCTAAGACCCACTGGATCAACAGGGTCCTAACCGCTCCCTCTCTTCTAAAGAGAGGGAGCCCTAACCTAACCGGTTAGGTTAGGAGAGAGCCTCCTAACCGCTCCCCGCCTCTAAAGAGGATTCGTTCCCATCGCCTTTCGCTGGTAAGCTCCGTTATGCTACAGCAGTTCCTTTGTGTCTTTTAGTTCAAGGGTTAAACATTTTGGGTAGAAAGGCCGCCTGTCCCAAGTGCTGGGATCCCCCTCCAGTCTGCCCAGCATCACACTGACGCCTCCTTCCCCACCACCATCAGCGTTTTTTGGCTGATGGGATGTCAATCCCGTGTAGGCGCCAGCCTTCTTGTCTTTGATGTTCTCCTGTCCTCTTCCGGTTATCGTCCATCGTCTACCACATGAGGCGTCCTTGGTACGCGCGTGACATCGGTACAAGAAACAACAACAAAGATGCACGAGCGCTTAGCCGACGTTGGAGTTGTACTGCCGTAACAAGCACTATATTGTCATCCGTAACAATGGTCAGTAACAACGGTCAGTAACAACAAAAATCATAGTCAACTATACTACACAGCAATAGAGCCTCATTACACTACACTATCACTACATTAGCACTATTCTATCACTACATTAGCATCACACCAGCACTCACAGTGAGGCTAGAGGCTCGCCGGTGTCTGAGTTGTGCTGCCAGCGTCGGTCGTCAGGGTCGGTGCCGCAGTGGCTGATGGCCGCCACAGGGAAGTGCTGCCTGAAGAACAGCGTCCGGTGGTTGTCCGTTAGTGTGATGCCCGCTGATGAGACCTGCACATGCGAGACATCGTTAGACATAACGGGGCATTCTCAGGGTGAGACATCGTTAAAATGAGACATGATCAGGGTGAAACATGATCAGGGTGTGACATGATCAGGGTGAGACATGATCAGGGTGAGACATGATCAGGGTGAGACATGATCAGGGTGAGACATGATCAGGGTGAGACATGATCAGGGTGAGACAGGATCAGGGTGAGACAGGATCAGGGTGAGACAGGATCAGGGTGAGACATGATCAGGGTGAGACATCATCAGTGCGATGCCGGCAGACGAGACTTAAACACGTTGGGTTATTTTTATGTTGCATTCGTGGTTATAATGATAGTTAACGCGCTTCTGAAACATGTGATTGGTTGGCAATGTGGAGATCGTAATCAAGTTTCTTATGTAATATGTTTTGCTCTCAACATTAAACTATGCCAAAAAAAGTAAATCGAAAAGCGGCAATAACAGTAAAATTTGGTATTTTCATAGGGAGCATCGAATTTACAGAAAAATATGAATAATTCAGGATGAAATATTCATTGAATAAATAAATTCTAATGCAATGTTATATATAAGTGATCTTAAATTGTAAAGGCGTAGGCCTAATAGAAGCAGAGAGGAATCTGGAGTGCATATATATAATGACGTATTTCTAATAAAATACAATAATAAATTGACCTTAAAATGTACAGGCGTAGGCCTAACAGAAGCACCAGATAGGAGGTTTGTAGGCATATATATAATGACGCATTTTTAATAAAATACTATAATAAATTGACCTTAAAATGTACAGGCGTAGGCCTGACAGAAGCAGCAGACAGGAGGCTGGTAACCGCCCTCTTAACGGCCTGCGGTCCCGTCAAACTCTCAGTGTCCAGCGAGTGCAGGTAGAGGACGGTGCATGCCGCTCCTGGGTAAAACAAAATAATTCATATAAATAAATATTACGCTTTAATTCAGGATCCAATCTTGAACATGATTTTTAGAAATAAATATTACGCTTTCACTCATAATCCCATTACAAAAACAATTAATGAAGATATTTATACTCTATCATTCAGGGTCTGATAAGAAACATAATTCATATGAATATATACAACGCTTTCACTTAGGATCACATTGGGATAACATAATTCAAACAACTATATTAAGTTATCATTTTATCATTACCAGAACATGGTAAGCAATCAAGGTATTATGGAATATGGAAGCTAACATTTGTAATGTTATGTTCATAATTTGTGTCATGCTAAGCAAGTGGATATTTAACGGATACTGGCAGTTAATTAACAAATTGCCAGTTCATTAATAAGAGAATTAAGCCATCAGGGTATATTTTGAAAATTAATAGATATTATATTTTTAGTGATGGCATTCTGACGGATCAACCAGTCAAGTTGATACCTAAATCAACCCTGCTCATCCTGCTGGAGGATACCACTCACCCTGCTGGAGGATAAGACTCACCCTGCTGGAGGATACCACTCACCCTGCTGAAGGATAAGGCTCACATTGCCGGAGGATAAGACTCACCCTGCTGAAGGATAAGACTCACATTGCCGGAGGATAAGACTCACCCTGCTGAAGGATAAGGCTCACATTGCCGGAGGATAAGACTCACCCTGCTGAAGGATAAGGCTCACATTGACGGAGGATAAGACTCACCCTGCTGAAGGATAAGACTCACCCTGCTGGAGGATAAGACTCACCCTGCTGGAGAAGCACGCTGTTATCCACAGAGGTGGACGAGGCGCTGGTGGATGCGGTGGATGCAGCAGGGTCGCGCTCTGGCAGCGCCAGGCGGCAGGGCAGCGCCAGCGCCGTGATCGAGTGTTGGTACACCAGCGCCGACAGCGAACCTGCGGTTAATGTATACAATATAATATCATATAATTTAATATATTATAGTTTAATATAAGATAATATAATGTATAAACGAGGAAGATATTATAATTTTTAGATTTTCTTTCATATATTCCTGAAGTCAAAGGTGATAGCTACACTTCTAAGGCATCGTTGTCAAACCAAGAAGTCATCGAAAGTCTAGAGATAACAAATGTTTATAGATAACTTCAAAACTTTCTAGACACGTTAATTGGGAGTGGTTACAAATCTAATTCTTAAGCGTCAGATAAATTTGAAATCGAGGAACAATATATCAACGAAAATCGAAAGTATAAAATAAGTAAAACCTGTAAAATAACGTAATGTAAGAAATAAATTTAAAACAATAATAATGACTGACCGAAAACAGGTTCGTTGCTGCATCCCTTTAGCCTGACTCCCCTCGCCGTGGGCTCAATGAGGAAGTGCCTAACGAGCTCGTTAGCGGGGTCCCCGCTCGTTGAGGACACCACCACGTTAGGGGGCGGGGTGGCCACCTTGACGGCGAGACCGAACGCGCCGGGGAACGAGTTCGAGTCGCGCACGATGAACGTGCCGGGGGGCTTAGACTTGAGGATGTTGATGGCTGGGGAAGAGGGAATAAGTCAGAGGTGTGAGTGGCTGTAATGTGGCGCATGTTGATGGCTGGGGAAGAGGGAATAAGTTATTTGGGCGTAAGTTTTGCCCAATCTATATATTTGATTTAAAGCACTTTGTGTAACCCTCGATGCGTGTCAAAGTCATCGCAATGATGGCTGTCAGTCCATTTATAACCTAAAGATAATAAAAGTTGCCCCAATGATATTCAATGACGATATTCAATGATTGGCAAAGTTATATAACTAAATCAAAGGGTGTAATGTTTTGAAATTAGCTGTCATCCGAAATTTATAATCGAATTATAAATTAAATCCAATAAGCGAATAAATCATACCTACTAAATATTGACTTATGCAGAGGAGGAGGAAAGCTTGAATTGATAATCGTGTACGCAAGCCAGATTCTATGGTATGAATTGCGCAAAATAAGAACTGTAATTGATTCCTATATATACAATATTGTAAGTATTGTGATTTGTTGAGCTCATGTCAATAAAAGTGTGTCATGCAATATACGCCATACATAACAGAGTTTCAAAGGCAAACAAACGACACAAAGAATTTATATGAAATTAAACTCAATTTGCATTCAACCGTTTAAACTCGAATTAGAGTTTTATCAGACATCCCTACTGCGCCGACGCGATACTCAATACCATCACATACATCACACAATAAAAAAATTGTTCACCTCCATCTTTCACTGACACTTTGACCTCGCGCTAAATAATAGTTAATGATTTCTTATTGAAATCATTAAGTTAAAGCTTAATATCAATGATTTCACCTTGCTCGCACTACACGTAAAGAATTTATACTTCGTCCAGGCACATAAAGTTTAAAAAATATAACTCAGTACTCATTGCAGCGAGTGACAGAGAGCGCATTTTCTCGTCGACGAAAACCGTGAAGTCACGGACGGACGGACAGACAGACAAAGAGACAGACAGACAGACGGACGAACGGACGGACGGACGGACATGACAAGTACAATAGCGCCTTTTTTCCATAAAGGAGAAAATGCGCTAAAAACGATGATTCCGAGTTGATTTAATTTATACAACATTTATTCAACTTTATTCCAACGTCAGATGTCTGGTGGGAATTATAGGTAACTGAAGATAATTAAGCTAACCTTCATCCCTGCTGATGTTGGGCTTGTACCAGAACTTGGAAATATCCTTGACGAACTTAGGATGGCTGTGGATGACGTCATGGCCTCCGCTGTCGTTGAGGGAAGTGAGGGAAGACCGGCGACTGGGCCCCTGGTAGAGGGAAGGCGCGGGGCTAGCGTGGCCGTTGTGAGGGGAGGTGCTGCGATACTGCGAGGACGAGGTCATCCCCATCCCAACTTGGTCCTTGCTGGGGGAGGAACGAGGTAGTGGTGTAATGCAAGGGGAATTGTAATGCATTTATACGTGAATGTAAGATGGGAGGAACGAGGTAGTGGTGTAATGCAAGGGGAATTGTAATGTATTTATACATGAATGTAAGATGGGACGTACTTCGTTGTGGTGTAATGCAAGGGGAATTGTAATGCATTTATACGTGAATGTAAGATGGGACGAACGAGGTAGTGGTGTAATGCATGGGGAATTATAATGCATTTATAATTTATAGGGTTAATTTATAGGGTACACGACTGTATGATTTTATTTAATATATAATTATTGAAGTACAACGGTTACGAATCTTTGCGTAGGACGAATGATTTGAGTTACTTACGAACACTGAAATGAGACGTTTGTTATTTACGAGTTAATTATACCACTTATTGATGATGAATGATTGCTGTAGGATGAATGATGTAATGTGATGTATGGACATCAAACATTGTGGTTTAGTTATACACGAATCTAAAAGTAGATTAAAATTTAACGATAAAAACGGTTACGAGACTTTGACGGAGGAAAAATGAATTACGTTACACACGGAGATTAAAAAATGTGCCTTTTTATTTCTGCAGGCAAATAATACTTTTTATTCACAGCTAAAATAAAATTTTGCTAATAGATAGTTAGAAATGATTCATTGCACGGGCATTAATAATTGTGACATTTTTCATACGGCTACTCATGAGAGCTCATGGTTAAAGGAAGCTGGCAACAGGCTGTGATCGCTGGCAGTGCTGGCAGCTGACACTAAGATAGAGAGGCAGGCTAACCTGTTGTTGCTGGCAGTGCTGGCAGCTGACACTAAGGTAGAGAGGCAGGCTAACCTGTTGTTGCTGGCAGTGCTGGCAGCTGACACTAAGATAGAGAGGCAGGCTAACCTGTTGTTGCTGGCAGTGCTGGCAGCAGAAGCAGGTCGCTGATTGTTAAGGGAAGACAGGCCGAGATGAGCTCGTCTGCAGGTCATGCAAAGCAGGTTAGCGACGAACCTTCCTGGGGCCATACTTTCAAAACTCGCTAAGTGAACGTAAGTACTTACGCTCTATTTTCTTGTCTGTGATTGGCGGATTTTGCTTGAAAGGCCGTCAATGATTGGCCGATGAACTTACGATCTCTTAACTTTTTTTGAAAGTATGGGCCAGGTTAGTGAGCACTCGCAGCACGCAACAACTATGCCGGAATTAACTTCAACAACGGAAATTGCAACACGAAAGCAACGTAAATTAGGACGAGGAGCAACAATTCAAAAGCAAATTACCAAAAATCCAAACAAGTTCGTATGAGGCAAAAAATATCCCGAGATTTTATTGACAATACGGCCAAATATAGTGAAGATGCAATTAAAATAAATAATAATAATTATGATACACTAATAATTGAGGAACACGAGTGCAATACATACAAGATAAATACAAGATTACGATCCTAGCATGGGTAGAAGTTCAGGTCTAGATGATGGCAGCAGTGAACATCAAGACAGAAGTTGACTTCACTATATTATGTACAACATGTCGGACCACAACCACATGTTCAATTGGACCACAACCACATGTTCAGTCGGACCACACCCACATGTTCAGTTGGACCACAACCACATGTTCAGTTGGACCACAACCACATGTTCAGTAGGACCACAACCACATGTTCAGTTGAACCACACCAACATGTTCAGTAGGACCACAACCACATATTCAGTTGAACCACACCAACATGTTCAGTTGGACCACACCAACATGTTCAGTTGGACCACAACCACATGTTAAGTTGGACCACAACCACATGTCCAGTTGCACCACAACCACATGTTCAGTTGGACCACAACCACATGTTCAGTTGCACCACAACCACATGTTCAGTTGGACCACAACCACATATTCAGTTGGACCACAACCACATACAACCACATGTTCAGTTGGACCACAACCACATGTTCAGTTGGACCACAACCACATGTTCAGTTGGACCACAACCACATGTTCAGTTGGACCACAACCACACGCTTACCACAACCACATGTTCAGTTGGACCACAACCACACGTTCAGTTGGACCACAACCACATGTCCAGTTGCTTGCACCACAACCACACGCTAACCACAACCACATGTCCAGTTGCACCACAACCACACGCTAACCACAACCACATGTCCAGTTGGACCACAACCACATGTTCAGTCGGACCACAACCACATGTTCAGTTGGACCACAACCACACGCTTACCACAACCACATGTTCAGTTGGACCACAACCACACGCTTATTACCACAACCACATATCAAGACGACAACAAGAAGCTGGAGCCCACAATGGCTCCGAGATGAAAATAAACTGAATGCTCAACAGAATTGAATGCTGATTCAGGAAATGACGCGTCTGTTTTCTCAGTGAATGCACAACATCACAAAAACGCAAGACATGCAAAAATAAACTGGCAGAAAATAATTGAAAGCCGAGGCGATTATTCAAAATGACTACTGTGTAAAAAGTTTACATGGTTTAATTAGTCCAGTGATATTAATGATATTTTGATTTGTTTAGACGTAATGCTTTACTATAATAGTTTTAACAGTACGTCTCACGTATGCGGGTTTCCTCAGCTTCAAACTTATTATTTAAAAACGTTTCTCAACATAATTAATGAATCTGATACCACTTCCTCCGTTAACAACAACAACATGCAGAGAACAACTACAAACTTTTGGGGCCTGCAGCTTCTCCATAATTGTTTATTTTTCATGCTTAATTCTCCTTGAACGAACATGCAAATCACAAAAATTGCACTGCAGAAAGATGACAGAACACGGTTTCTGAACATAATTAGAAAATAAAGCATAAAAAATTTGCATTTTTTGCATTCTTGCCATTTTATTTCGCAGACGAGTTACTGCCAAAGAAATTTTTTCTGACAACTTAATAAAACAGTTTATAAATAGTTGTGCATGTAAATGACACACCACCCAGGCAAATTAATGAGGTAAGGGCAGAGATCAACAACTTAATGAGCCTTAAACGTAGCGACGCGTGCAACCCGTACACTTACAGAGCGTGGCGAGGCTTGGGCAGTGGTTAGGAAATAGGGCTGTTTGAAAGTGGTTGGGCTGTAGAGAAGGGGCTGGGCTGTAGTGAGGATATTGGGCTGTAGGGAAGGGGCTGGGCTGTAGTGAGGATATTGGGCTGTAGGGAAGGGGCTGGGCTGTAGGGAGGATATTGGGCTGTTTGAAAGTGGTTGGGCTGTAGAGAAGGGGCTGGGCTGTAGTGAGGAAGTTGGGCTGTTTGAAAGTTGGTGGGCTGTAGGGAAGGGGCCGGGCTGTAGTGAGGAAGTTGGGCTGTTTGAAAGTGGTTGGGCTGTAGAGAAGGGGCTGGGCTGTGGTTAGGATATTGGGCTGTTTGAAAGTGGTTGGGCTGCAGAGAAGGGGCTGGGCTGTGGTGAGGAAGTTGGGCTGTTTGAAAGTGTTGGGCTGTAGGGAAGGGGCTGGGCAGTAAGGGGTTGGAATCGGATTTCCTACAGCGTGTAGGTTGCGTCACTCACAGGATCTCACCTTGGTGCGGAGAGGTTGCAACCATTGCTAATGTTTTAATTATCAGGTCACAATAGTTTAGTTACTCACCGCTGCATGGTGGGGCTTTTGGGCGGCAGACCCTGGTTGAGGTAGGGCGTGGTGGGCGTGGACGGCGGGAAGCCCGGAGTAATGGGGCGGTGGGCGCCGCCCACTCCGCCCTCACAGTCGCTCTGCCAAGCGCCCTCGTCGCCGGGCTGAGGGAAGTGACAAGTGAGAGCAAGGGACAAGTGAGGGCAAGGGACAAGTGAGGGCAAGGGACAAGTGAGGGCAAGGGACAAATGAGGGCAAGGGACAAGTGAGGGCAAGGGACAAGTGAGGGCAAGAGACAAGTGAGGGCAAGGGACAAGTGAGGGAGAAGGCAGGAAACAAGGAAAAGGAGAAGGCTGAACAAAGAAAAGGTGAAAGGAGGGAACAAGGGAGAGGAAATGAGAAGGATAATGACACTTCGCTGTCATGTACAGGGAAACATTGAATACAAGCGCAGTTACACGTTAAAGTAACCAGACAAGATAAGTGTGGTGTATGCGAGATCACAAATAAAAGATGTGTACATTAACAGAATAGACATCACGACATTTGGTGCAATTTTACATCAATGAAACTTTAATGAAAATAATACAACTGAATATGAAGAAAGTGCAAGGAAAATTACACAGTTGGTGACATTGACACGACGATTGGAAGAGAGTGGCTTACCTGAACAGAATTTGTCCTATGCACAAATTCAATAAACTAAATTTTATTATTGATATGTCAAAAAGTTTGAAAAAGGAATCACCAGTAAAGAGCAATGAGAACAAATCACTTCAGTTAATTAGCTGTCATGATAACAAATATTTTTGTTTTGTAAAGAATTGATCATGATAGGGAGCACAACATATGTTGACTTCATCACACCACGGCGCCGACTGAGGCTAGTGACGACTGCTAGCAGTAGGTAGTTTATCTCTATTGTTCATTTGAGATAATTTGATATACCATTGGAGTAGCAATGAAAAATTTGCCACCTAATTTATTAGAAATTGCTTTTAGATTGAATGCAATCAAAATTTACAATTTTGGTGAAGGTGAAGTATAGTACAATTTCAAGTTGTCAAGGTTAACATACACGATCAAGATGCATATCACACAATTGACATAATAAGTAGGGAGATATTAAAATTTCATAAATAATTATAACCATGCAAGCTGAGGGCACACAGAACAATATCGCATGCATAAGCAGGCGCATAAATTATACTTTGATATAAACCTATCTCAATGCGTGATAAATGAAGAGTTAACTTCAAAATTAACCAAATCATAAAGAGACAGAGGAAGATTCTCGAGCAGATCATGCAAATGAGTGTGATTTTAATAAATAAAAAGAAAAAAAACATAAATTAAGACACAGGGAATTCGTTGACACCATACCAAAAAAAAAAATGAGCTTGAAAACAACAAAGAAAAAACACGCAAAATTAGCACAGAAAGCCACAGTTATTTTGTCCAGAATCTCGCTACAGACTCGCAATTTACAAACAAACAGCGACATCGACAGACCGAATGCGTGACGCACAACGTACATTCACAATAATTCATACACAATGAAACGCTCAGGTAATCTTGCGACGGCATTCATTCACCATATAAAGGAAATGTTCATATGAAAGGAGATGATTAGATTTGAATTGGAATGTATTTTCATTCTAAATTGTAACCGAAGAAAAACATATGTAAATGGTTGATTCCTTCTTTTATTAAAATATAAATAAATAATAATATTACGTAGTTGAAAGGAAAATCGGTGAATAATTTTTTTTATGAGCATAATTCCGGTAGAATTTCTAGCTAAATCCATATTGTGAAGTGACCTTACGATGGCTATTAGCTTAAGTTCGGAGAAATTTCAAATTATATACTGGTAAATTCAAGGAAATTGTACAACCGAGAGTAGAAAATTGCGGAGTGTATACTTGAAAAATTAAAAAAAAACTCCAAAAATAATTTCAAGAGTTTGTACAACGCTTAGGACTTGAAGCAGACATTTATATACAGAACAGCACAAATGACAAGCAGTGGATTTGAAAATATTCACGACAAATTTAGAGGACGGTTTGTACAACGCGAGTCCCCTGACCTTAGGACTGACAGGCGACACAGCAGACACAACGCTTGAAGTACAGTTGTTGAAACCTTCAGGTGCTGATACTAGCATGAAATCGTTGGCACTAGAGCAACTAACGCTCACACTAGTGCTGCTCTCAGAGTCTTTGTTCTCTGAACTCTCAGGAGCCCCTGAACTGGAACTAGTGTTGGCGCTGCTTTGGCTGGGCTTGGGGCCGTTGCAGTAACTCCTCAAGTTGTAACTTTGACCTGAACTTTGGTTCAGGGTTTTAGGTAACGTCGATGAGTACGGCTCCGGGATGACATTGTTGATATTGTTGTGTTTCAACGATGAGTCGATACGAAAATGATTGAGGGATGATAGCCGCTTGTGCACTCCTCTGTCCAGCGAGTTGGTATACCCAGTGATATTGTACACCCTGTTGTCGGATGCGAAGTAGAGGTCGTTTGGAAGCGTTTTCTTGTTAGAAGATGGAGCATTGTTTGAAGTGCCTTGTGTACAAGCCAACGCGTCGGAAATAACATTTGGAATTATCATATTGTAATACCGAGATGCGTCGTTGGCAGCAGCATCGTCGATGTAATTCGACGAAGGCGCTTTGCGCAAGTTTGACATATCCAAAGATCGCTCGCGGAAGACGTTCTTATCTGCAGCAACGAAAGCGCGCGCGTCGTCATAGTTATTCGGGATAACTTTGTTAGCAGCTATTGAAGCGAGGTAAGTCTTGTAAGCGTTACGAGCGCGAGTAACGTCGTCTTCATGAACTGAAGAAGTTGCTGTGACAGGCGTGACGTTGCGGGGGTTGTCGGTGGCGGTGGAAAAAGCGTGTGACACTTTAGCAGAAGAGGTAGAAGCAGAAGCTGGTGAATGTTTCGTCTGGAAGCCCAGGCAGCAACGAAGGAGCAAAAGCATGAGCGTTAGTCTACAGTGGATGGAGTGAGGTGGGAATGGTAGTCCAGACCTAGACTTGGCAGGTCAGTTAATCCAGAACAAAAAATGTAGAAAGTTAAGCAGTATTGCCCAAAAGGCAGGGCAGATACGGTAGAGCGCGGATCGTACAAACAATTTGATCAGCATTAGTTCTGAAAATTTGCCCAAAATTCAAGCATATATAAAGGAATTATAACATAAAAGGCGACTTGATCTTGATTAAGCCAGTTCAGTAAACGTTACGCGCCTCAATATTTATAAAGCAGAATTAATAGAGCAGAAGAATGTATTTAAAATTTAGTAGAATAATAGAAAATACACAAGAAAGCGGAGCAAACATTCACGTTTGGAAATTTTTGCACAAAATTCGCCCTTATTTAAAAAAATTGCCACAACCGACAACACGGCCAAGAAAACTTATAATCGGCTATTTATGTTTGAGTTTCAAATGTACAGATTCCCCCATATTATTTTTTACGCCGTTTTAATTTTGTTGCGGAAATGATATTAATACACACATTTTCATGTGATTTTTATCTGAATTAAATACATTTATGTATAATTTATTTATAAATACAAAATTATATATAATTTATAAATACAAAATAATATTTATGCATACATTTTCATGTATGCATAAATAAAATTGCAGAATAAAGAATTGTAAATTTGTTTTAGAATCGCACGAAGTTCAACATGTTTCGAAATTGATCACTAGCGGTAAAAGTGTAAAATTTGACTTAAAATAACTCGTACTACTAAATTTGGTTTTGGAGTCTAACATCGTAGAAATTGTTACTCAGATGCGCACGTTGATTGATTCAGAACTGCCAGACCAATGTAAGGATTTGTCACAGTAATATGCAGGTATATCTCTAGTTTGCTTAGATCCAAAGTTACCCACGAAATAAAAATCGAGAATTTCAAAGCAAAGTAAATGCCAAAGAAATTTATCATTATTTTATCATACAATGAAATTATGATGGATTTTCTCGGCATATTATTTGTTTTCAAATTACTCATCTTATTAATAATCAAATGGGCGCTGAAACACCCCAGAATTAAATGCTCCAATATTGTTAGATTTTCTAGAAATTCGCCCATAAGTAAACATGTAAAAAAAATGTTACGGATTTGTTATGAAAATATACTTAACCTTTAACGATTGCATAAGTTAAAGAAAATTCATAGGCAAAAATTTTCGTTATGCACAAGCAAATTTTTTCAAATGCATTTGAATTAATACAAAATTTGTCATTAGGGATAACGCGTATAATTAGTAAGAAAATAACGCGCATAATTATTAGTAGAAAAAGTTCACGAGTTAAAGAAGCAAAGAAGAGTGAAATAGAAGAACTTGCATGCAGTTTAGATTAAGATTAAATTTGTGAGATCAAATTTGTCTCAAGGTTTCGACGCCGAACTTTTAATGAAAAAAAGGCGATAAGAAATTCATGAGCGAAGTCAAGTAAATTTGTGACGAAAGAATTTAAAAAATTGGAAAATCAAGAAAATAAATTTTCTAAGACAGAAATACTATAATGAAAAAAGGCGATAATAGGAGCATGAGCGAAGTATATTTGTGAAGGTAGAACTAGAAGATTAAGAAAATAAGAGTAGGAAGACAGAGAATAGGAATAAGATCGAGAGGTAAAGCGGAGAAGTTCGAATTAGGATAAATACAGTAATAATAAAGATAAGTAAAAACTTTAGGATTTACGAAGGAGTGTCTAATAGAGCATTATTTGCGTATTACATAATTTGGCTAATTTAAGACTTCTAGCCATTGCTATTAACTAGTATAAAAATAACATTTATCGTACCAACTTGTATGTAATCTAGATTTTTAAGACTATCACTTAAAGGTGGCAAATTTATTGATATTACGTACCACTTAGCATTCATTGTATTTATACGTACACTCAGGAAAATGAGCGGAGTGAGCGTTTGTCTAAATGAGGTATCAGTGCTACGAACAGAGAGTGTGTCACTATTTGGACAGCATGGCCCATTGATTTTTTTCAAGTGAAGTTTCATCGGTTTGTTAAAGCAGCTAAATATTGACGATTTTGCCTAATTTCGTTAGGAAAAAAACGATGTAACGAACGCGTTCACAACCGATACGTAATTATAGATTTCAACGGTAACGGGAATTTTGGGTAAAAATTAATAGGCTAACAAGAAAATAATGTAATTATAATTAATAATAATAGGAAAGTAACTCACCTGGTGGTGCAGGGTGGTGAGAAGTCCCTCTCCCTGGTGTGGTGACGATGAGTGATGGTAGTTGATGTGACCCAGAGGATTTGACTGCAGCTGAGTCAAAGCTGAGTCCTGTAAATCACGATAAGTTATTATTTATTTTTTTGTTAATAAGTTTGATCGTTAATGTATAATAATTACAAAAATTACTATTTCCCTTCCATTAGAATAGGATTTTCGTCAATAACAAGCGCTCCTCTATATGAACATTAACGTACTCTCTTCGATGTTTAATAACGAACTCTCTTCGCAGTGACGGGAAATTCTATATTTAATGTAACCCAGCAACAATTGTTTTGGAGCACCATGCTTGGATAATCCGAATAACCGGTTCTGTGCAAGGTTGGACAGTTTATTGACGAGACCACTTCGACCTTAGAAATAGTAACCGGAAAACGAAAAATCAGAGACCGCACTATATAAACTGTCTCAAGCTACACGTAGCGGCCGAAGTGCACTCATCGGCCGATTTCTCGTCTGTGATTGGTAGGTTTAGCTTGAAAAGCAGTCAGTGATTGGCTGACGGAACTACAAACTCTTGAATTTTTTTATAGTAGTGCGGTCTTAGGACTAAAAATACCTAAAATACAGAACATTTAACGACAACTCTCAAACAGAACCTCAACGCCCGCACTCAGTCAGAACCTTCAACCATGACCATCACAGTCAGAACCTGCATCCATGACCATCACAGTCAGAACCTGCAACCATGACCATCACAGTCAGAACCTGCAACCATGACCATCACAGTCAGAACCTGCAACCATGACCATCACAACCATGACCATCACAGTCAGAACCTTCAACCATAACCCTCACATTCAGAACCTTCAACCATAACCCTCACATTCAGAACCTTCAACCATAACCATCACAGTCAGAACCTGCAACCATGACCATCACAGTCAGAACCTACAACCATGACCATCATAGTCAGAACCTTCAACCATGACCATCACAGTCAGAACCTTCAACCATGACTGTATGAAATATTACGTGCTGGAAGCCAGTATTCAGAGCTGCAGAACTAATAGCTACTACAACACCGTCATATAACTCTTTACTGAGGGAGTTACATATATTTTGCATCATGTAGCAGCAACATAAAATACATTTAAGAATTTTACTAGACCAGAACTAATAATAAACCAGATCTAATGATAAGACTGGTCAAGATATTAACATTGATAAATCCGCTTTTATTTGAGATAAAGTGGACACAAGAATAGCAAGAGACGGAAGATCACAACACGCTTCAGACGTTGATATTAACTCAGCACCATACGTGATGTTAAGTACAAAACTTGTAAACACTGATATCTTGCTACAACTGTCAAAATTAACTTAGCTCAGAGGCTAAATAATATTCTTGATTTTATAAAGGAAATCGGGATGTAGTAGCTTCAAAGTACTTTCCGCATCGCCCGTACATCGAAAATCAGATTCCATTAGAAATACTGACAATAATTTTTCAGTTAAGTACAGAAATACGAGGAAGTAGCAATATTTGCTGAACCTTTCTTCTTAATAATGAGTTTTGGAAATAATTTTCCGTAGTTGTCAATAGTCAGCAAAATAAAAACTACTTCAACATTAAACAAGAATAGAATAGAATCCACTTTTAGAATAGAATAAACTTTTAGAATCTAGTCAACTTGCAGAAAATCTCGCGTTACTAAGCCTTCATACGAACTGTAGCGAATACCAACCTTCTACAAACAAATTTATTTTAAATGTACAAAATCCATAACACAGATCGTCTCGATAGACAGATGACGCATCTATACAGGCATAGTTTGAACCGATGTTTGTATGTTGTGCGATTGAATTGTCGATCGATTCCTTTCATTTGAACAGCGATCACGTTTTGGATGATGTGTATTAAATACATATAAATATATTCAAATATACTTGTAAATAATTAATGCTTACTACAACATCAGGACACTCGAGCTGTAATCTCGTTTCAGTTTGAAACCGAACGCAAAATGCCTAAATCTGGACTGCTTCGAGACGCGCGAATCCAATATGGAGGGAGCATGACACACGACGGATTAACTTGCGTTCGCTGGAATATTATAAATCAGAATACAAAACTGTATTTTCTTTCATCTGGGACTGTATTTCCTTTCGCCCCACCACTACAAAATTTTTTTTGTCCGGAACAATTTTTCTTTCGTCCCACCATTCCAGAAAATTATTTCGTCTGGAACTGTACTTTCTCTTGCCTGTAACAGTTCTTACATTCAGTACACCACTACAAAAATATCTTTCGACTGTAGCTGTATTTTCATTCGGTACAAAACTACAAAAATTCTTTGCGTCTGTTACTTTACTTTCATTACTGCCACCATTACAAAGACAGTAATCCTAGTAGTTATGATGCTACAAAAATATCTTTCGACTGTCATGTATTTTCATTCGGTAGACAAATACAAAAATTCCTTGCGCCTGTAACTTTACATTCATTCCTGCGAATCCTGCCACCATTACAAAGACTACAAAGACAGTAATGCTAGTAGTTATGATGCACCACAGCGATGGAACCCTGAACTGGAGACTGGAGTTATGATTCTCCACCCAGGAACCCCTGCCATCTCACCCGTCCCCTGTCCGAGGCGAACGCGCGTTTGATGCTCACGAACGGCCGCTCGCGGTCATGCGATGCGTCCGAATATTTGCGTGACAGAGACAGAGTCTTGGTGGTGTTAGCGTAGTGCTGGTTCAGTCTGGGGATATAACAATATATGAATTGAAAAGTTTTAATGTTGGTTATAAACGATAGAACGGTTTATCAAGTAGCTTAGGATATATTATTTTAAACTTGAAATGTAATAAAAAATTTGGTTGAATGTTAAGTGAAACGATCCGTTGATAGCACAAAGGGTAGCAACAGAATTCCAATTCGGCATGTTGTATCATGCACATTTATTCTTATAATAACATATCAAAGACTTATTCAATAACCAACGCACCTTTGAACGGCATGATGCACATTCAATCTTATAATAACATTTCAGAGATTTATTCAAAACTCAACGCACCTCTGGAGCCGATCTCTAGCAAAGTTGTGGGTCGCGGTCTTGGACGCCACATTGGGTGATGAAGGCTCGGAATGTTCCCTGGCACTGGCACTCCTCCTGTAGGCGGTGTCCCTGGAGTTCAGGGTGTTGTTGTAACCCGTGGACACGCTCAGGGGTGAGTATGGGTGATGCTTCGTGGGTGATGACTCCCGTGAAGTGTCCGAGAACAATGTCGTATCTGAGACGTAACCGTCTTCAAAGTCACCGTAGCGACCGTAGCGACTAACGCCCGAGAACGACGATGAGGTATTCGTAGTGTTCGTTCGGTTGTAGTGCTGCAAAAAAAGAAGTATCAGTAGTAAACATTATTCTATTTATTATGATTTTATTCGATAACTGATATTATTTCATTTTAGAGGCAATATTACAAGATATGCAACCCATAATTTGGAATAAAAGTTTAGAGTAGGGTAAGAATACTCCATATACTATATACCATATATCATATTCCATATACCATATACCTTATACGATAAAACAACATGAAAATACCAACTTTCAATGCAGACTATTTTACAATCAAATAAATAAATTCAAATTTATTAACCAGAATAAACCACGTGTGCTGTAGTTAGAGGAACGCAAGAGCTTTCCAGCCATCCGTTCAGGATATATTCGCGTGTCTATAGATTTAGAACAAGTGCAAGTAAAAGGATTTCCAGCCGTTATTTAGAAAAAGAATATGGTTAAAGTCAACATTTTTAAATTTGAAAAAGTTGCAAACGGAAGTCTTACCTGAGCGTAGGGGCGATGTTAGTAAGACGTGAGTCGTGCAGAATTAGGTTCTTGAAACAAGAAGTACAGACACCGTTAATCGCCAATGATCGCAATGACCATTCATAGTATGAATCAGTCATGTTTGTGCAGATTATGTTCACTCTTTGTTATTTCCGTACTGATTAAAGAGAAAGGAAATGCAAGATGCAGTAAAGATATGGTCAGCAAACACAAACTTGTGTTTAACAATTAAAACCGGAAACAGAATTTCGAAATGAAACAAATGAACAGTATGACATAAGCAGATTATTCCAGCCTATATGCAATTATTTGAATTAGTATAGAACGGTAGAGGATAGGGGACAGACTGCGTTTTACCATTGCCTGGTCACCGCTTATAAATGCGATCAATAATCCGATCGCCGAATGTATTCTGATCAAATAACTCAAGTTCGCCAAAGTTCTGATCAAATAACTCCCGTACTGACTTTAATGTCTCATTTGTAGGTTATACTTGCCTGTACACTTATATGTCTAGCTATGATGGGTAGTATCGTAAGATTTGTAAATTATTTTTTATTATAAGCTATCCATAAATGTTCATTGTAGCCTAATTTTAGCGATGGCAGCGTGAGGTTATTATTGTACAAATATAAGTAAATTAAATATTAAAATAGCCCGTCGTGAATTGAAAGGTCACTCACTGACGTTTAATGCAATACCAAAAATCTTAACACTTAATCTTTTTTAACCCGAATTCTCATCTGTTACTTTGGAATTGTGTTTGAGGCTTCTTGACAAATTTCTGCAAGATGAAACTAGCAATAGGTAAATTGAACGGAAATATGTTTCTGGCACATCAATCTAAATATTATCAATTAATGTTTTGGAAAAGCTGATAGTTTAAGGGTCGACGGAAGTGTTTTACCGCGGTAATGAATGCTTTGGAACACAGAATTGTTTTGTGGTCGAATGAAGTGTTTTATCGCGGTAATGAATGATTGGGAACACCGAATTATTTTGTGGTCGAATGAAGTGTTTTACCGCGGTTACGAATGCTTGGGAACACCGAATTATTTTGTGGTCGAATGAAGTGTTTTACCGCGTTTACGAATGCTTGGGAACACCGAATTACTTTGTGGTCGAATAAAGTGTTTTACCGCGGTTACGAATGCTTGGGAACACCGATCGAATTATTTTGTGGTCGACGGAAGCGTTTATAAAGACGGTAACGAATTTTTGGTAATAGCTGAATATTTATGCGTTCACCCGAATTATTATATGAAATTGTGGGTTTACCTTGGCGGGCCAGAAAAATGATGCGCTGCGATGAAAACTTCGAGTCAGTAGTCACAGAATTTATTACGAAAATTAATCAATGCATGTTAATTAACCATAGATAAGGATAGAGTAGCCGATGAACCCAGAAGGAAGAGTAAAATGATCGAGCAATGTTGGATAGTTTATTAACAGGCATCTCTGAATGTACGTTAGGTTACTTCTAATAACATTGAAAGAAAGAAGTTGACAGTTAAAATCTAAATATTCTAAACTATCAATTAATAATATTTCATAATCATTCAAATTATTGGCGTCAAAAATACAGCATGGATGAATGCAGTACATTTTTATTGATAAAAAAAGCACCGTGTTAACCCGAAATCATGTGCGTTACTCTCATGCATTATTGGAGGATAACTTCGTTATTTATAAAATGATCGTAACGAATCATAACCTTAAAGTAATAAAGCCACAGTCAACAATCAGGGGGCGGTAATCTCCCAGTTAATCTTCGACAAGACAATATAGTGAAGAACACCAAAAAACCATTTAAACATTTCCAGTTGTTTTGACCAGAGGAAGTATTTTAGAATGATTATATCTTTACCCAGTAAGAATAGGATTCAGTGCACTGTAGGTATACATGTCCGTAAACATATTTAAACCGTAGAAAACCAACAAAACCGACAAATTTCGAACGTCACAGCGGAATAAAGAATGATAATAAACCTGAACGACCATCGGCGTGTGAAAAAACCTGATTTGCAACGTCTCGAGTAGTAGACCTTTCAGGCGCGATGATGTCAAAAGTATTTATTTATTCAACTATGTTTTACAGATATATCAAGACTAAGTCACGAGCAAACGAAGTAATTCAATATTTAGAACTTTGACCGATACGTAACCTATTCCACATTCTAGAGCTGAAGTCAGACCGACAGCTCCACTATTTCTCCCTTCACACAAGCATTTAAAACTCACACGTTCAACCCGTTTACTTTCAACCGAAAAACTTATCGTTGGTGAGCACTTTAAAGCCAAATAAATCTATATTATACATATCTAATAGAAAGTCACTTATATCCACGAACCAACACATACAAAATAAATTATTACCCACTTGCGCGAAGACCAATAACATTCACTCAGCACCTAAGCTCATCGTTTCGCTGAATCCACGTCGAACACACTCATGCCCCCTCATACCGCCAGTCCCTACCCTCCACAAGGATTACTTCTACCCTCCTGAGCACAGCAATCTTCACGTCTGCATCAAGAAAACACATTTACCCTCATGCAGACCGTACATCCGTATACCCTTTCCGTACATCCAGAAAGCACATCAACCGTAAATCCTAATAATATTTCATACATCGAGCAAGCACATCCATCGTACATCCTCACGTCCTTCCGTACATTCAGAAAACACATCCACGGTACATCCTTATATACTTCCGTACAATCAGAATGCAAGACACCACAACGAAATAAATCTACCTTTCTACACGTATACTGAATAGGGTACAATGTACATACAGAAAACACATCCACCTCACAAAAAGCACATCCACCTTATATCCATCTACCCTTTCGTACCTACATCCACTGAACATATCCACCCTCACCATCTGCCGTCAACAGCCGTCACTTGCACGCACCTGTCCGATCCTGGAGCGCACCCTCTACCCTTTCGTACATCCACATAACACATCCACCCTCACCATCTGCCGTCAACAGCCGTCACTTGCACAGTTGTACGCACCTGTCCGATCCTGGAGCGCACCCTATACCCTTCCGTACATCCATATAACACATCCACCCTCACCATCTGCCGTCAACAGCCGTCACTTGCACGCACCTGTCCGATCCTGGAGCGCAGTTCGTTGATGACCCGCGCCTCGTGACGCCCGCGGTCAGCGCGACGGTTGGCCTCGCGACGCTCGACGAGCTTGCGCTGTTGTGTCGCCAGCCACGAGCTGCTGGTGCCGCTTAGGCTCCGACTGCGTACAAATAACATATATAAATGCAAATATATGTAATATAATTACAAATATTTATAATATAATTACAAATATTTATAATATATTTACAAATATTTATACTGTAATAACAAATAATAATATGATTGCAAATAACAATAACGTTGTTACAAATAATGGTTGAGACGTATGTTCTGATCAGGGAAGATAAATTCTAGCCATGTTTGAAAAGAAAATGCTCTGCATCATTATTAAGAGATTTAACGAGTCAAAATAGATAGAGAAAAGTTAAACAATAAAAAAATGCGGTGAACTTGAACAATTTACTTGATTTTAGGAAATTTTTTAGTTTCAAGGAGACAGGACAACAAACGAGACATTCTGGGTGAGGAATAATTGCAAGATTAGTGACAGTTGTTGTGGAGTTAGCTCGGAAGAGACATTTTGGGAGAACTAATTATATATTTAGGCTTGTGACATAAGTAAAGAGTAAGAAAGCTCACACTTTTATTATATTTTGAACGTGCCACCGCCCAAATGATGTGGCCTCTGTATAAATAGCGGCGAAGCATAAAGAACTCGAGCCATAATGTTTCGAATTTCTATTAAAATTTTACGTCCTAAAGACAAACATTTTGAATATGTTTGGTTACCTATTTCTTTAATCCGACAGAATTACTTTCAGTACGGACAAGACACGCTATTATGTTCTGAGACCACGGTACACTTCTTATATCAGCCACCTGGTATAATGCATATAGTATATTTTGATCATAAGCAGTACTTGCTTATAAACATTAGTCTAATGAATTATAATATACATAGTCTTCATGAACACGCTTGTATGATCTATCAAAGTTCTGTCTTTATTCGGTCTTTTTAATCAGTGCATGGCATCCAACATTAAAGAACTATTGGCAGTGGTGGAAGATAAAATTTCTCGGTTAGCTAACAATTATGCTAGCCAACAATTATGCTTGTGATGAAATTACAGAATATAGACCAATTCACAAGTCAATACCAGACTAGGATGCTAAATTTGAACCTAGGAAATGCACGATAATCGAACGCTGCAAGTCTATTATCTTGTTCGCATCTACATCCGGTAAATATACGACTGATTGTAATTCTACCAGCACAAAGAGTAATAGCACGCGCACTGTTTTTAGTCTGAAGGCGTCGGAGGTAATCAGCCATAACGAAACTTGACCTTGCCAGCAGCATCGTAACCTCTCTTGCTCTCTCTAGCTTTAATGGCCCATCTGGCTAGCTGGGTCTCGGCCATCTGGACGAAATACAGCCAATTAAAGGGACGGAAATGTGCCAGCTGCATTACATTCTTTCTGCAGACAAAAACTGGACACATAAATCTAATTTTCTCATGTATTTAATATACGAGCGCATGTAGTCCAATGATGAAGTAGATCGTACTTAATTGTAAACATAAATTCAGTTTCGATTAAAAAACATGTGAATGAAAATTTTTGTGTACAAACTAAAGTTGCAATTTAAGGGGAACGCAGAATGAATATCATCAGCATGAAAATAATGTCCAGCATTGTTTATTACAATCAACAGCAGTAGTAAGAGAACGCTGGATCAATGAACGTTGCCGTGGTGTGAGAACGCTAGAAAAATGAACGTTGCAGTAGTGTGAAAACGTTAGAACAGTGAAAGTTACAGAAGTGTGAAAACGCTAGAACAACGAAAGTTGCAGTAGTGTGAAAACGCTGGAGCAATGAACGCTACATCAGCTTGAGAACGCCGATGTAATGATCACTGCAGTATTGTGAGAACGTCGATGTAATGAACACTGCAGTATTGTGAGAACGTCGATGTAATGAACACTGCAGTATTGTGAGAACGTCGATGTAATTAACACTGCAGTATTGTGAGAACGCTGGAGCAGTGAACAGAATAGCCAATAACATATGAAAAAAAAGGTAACAGACGACGGAGCCGAAAAGTGTGTAGCAAGTATAGGTAGTAAGTCCAAAAAGTGGTCGCCGAGAACGCTTGTAAAATCACCAAGTTAAACGCATCCCTGCAACAAAGCTTAAAGGTTCATGTCCAGTAAACTCTGAGATGAGCTTTAATGGCGCAACTTCTCATGCAAGTTAATGAGTCGTCGAACAGAACAACGAACTATATATGTATTTTGCGATGAAAAGTGAATTAAAATGCAAGGGCTTTTTAACAGACGAGTTTTTTTCACCATAACATATGCGTATTGCATATCAAGTGCGGTTTTGTGAGCAAGTTGTTAAAATATTTACACGTACGCATAGCTTCTGTTGTTGCTGTTGCTGTGTTTGTTGTTGTTGATAATCTTTCACCAATTGTAAGTTTGAAGTATATAGAATTCGTCTCTAAAATTGGCATCTGTAATTTTGAAATTTTGTTGCCTCTTATAAATTTAAACAGTGAAACTATATTTTGCTGATTATATTCTTTTACCAAAATAAGTAATTAAGGTATTTGATAACACCTCAGCATCTCCATTCTTACTTGGTCCCGATACTTTGAAGGTAAAAATTCTGGCCCCGATTCGGCATAATAGAGGTCGAAACCAAAATTCAAATACCAAAATTAAAAAAATAATGGTAAGTGGGAGCCCGAACCAAGAACGGAATGTTAGGTACCGAAACGCGAAGGTCATAGGGTACGAAGCATGGCTGTAGGAGAGAGGGGCAGAGACTTGAGGGTCATTGTCTAAGCCTGCCTCTCTTGGACTAATCTTAACAAATCGGTTTCCTTTCAAGTGAAACAGTAATTTCGAAAATTATGTCCCTTGCCAAAATTATTACAGCAAGAATCTAGTATGACAAAAAGAAATTTTGAAAAAAATGAGCGTCGTATTAACTATTAAAGCAAAAACATATTTAGTAAAACCGGTAAATTGTGAAAAAAATGTTTATCGCACAAATTATTAACGAAAAACCTATAGCTATAAATTAATGTTGAAAAATTAGCCTCGCATCTAATATTGCAGATATTACAGATATTATATATAAAATATTACAAAAAAATTAGCCTCACAGAAAATATTACATAATTATTATTAAAATATGACATAAATATCACATAAAATATTACAAATTACTCCATAGTCAAAACGGAATTTTGAAAAAAATGTTACTCGCATAAATAATGGAAGCAAGAACCTTTAAGTACCTACATCAATACGGCTCATCTATGAGAAAAATTTAAGTATGTATAAAATAATGAGAAAACGTACAAAATGACGTTGCAAATAATAAAGTAACAATGAAACTACATCAAAGCTATAAATTTGACCAGGCCAGCGATTTAGCGATTTTCTCGAACGACGCCTAGTCTCGCAAACTCACGCGAACTATAATCTAATAACTAATAATATTAGTTATAATAATAACTAATATAATAAGAAGTAGCGTCGAAAAAATCTATTAAAACCCCGTAAACCTCTGAGTAACCGCAATACAATGAAATCCGTCGCACTTAAAACAACGCACGACTGAGAAATTCAGTAGGTAAAAAAACTCCCCATTGCGGACGAGGAAAAATGGATAAACAATAAGAAAAATGGTAGAATTGTCGAGGGAAATGAGCACAGTTGAGAAACGTAGACCCCTTGCCACCTGGCAACTCATCAACAGCTTAGACTTGGATTTAAGATCTGGCGGTAGAAACTTGCTTAGTGACGCCAAAAAACAGCGAAATGTAATTAGCCTGTCATTTGCAGCGCCGATTGGGAGCGAGGATTTCCGTTAAAAAAACTAAATTAAAGTTGTGGTTTAGATAAATCGATTGACAGATGATTATATTTATATGACAATATTAATAATAAATAATATATTGACAGAAAATCCATACAAAGAAGTAATTTTATTATTAAGATGTTTTATTCAAATTTATCATTATAGTCGGCGATTGAAATAATTAAGAATTAAGGTGGAGAAATTTGTATATAAATTCTGCGAGAAATTATAACTGTGGTCCAAAGCGGCATTGCGGGCTTCGCGTCTGCGTTAATTTCTCCTTTACGCGTCAAGCGAGCGCCACATACCAGCTCAGCTGTGGCGAGCGCCTTATACCAGCTCAGCTGTGGCAAGCGCCTTATACCAGCTCAGCTGTGGCGAGCGCCACATACCAGCTCAGCTGTGGCAAGCGCCACATACCAGCTCAGCTGTGGCAAGCGCCACATACCAGCTCAGCTGTGGCGAGCGCCTCACACCAGCTCAGCTGTGGCAAGCGCCACATACCGAGCCACATACTAGCTCGGCTGTGGCGAGTGCGACATCAATTATAGCTTTGTTCCGGCTATTACAGTATTTCAACAATTTCTCAATACCTACCTACATGATATACAGCCACGTACCATTCATATCATCGTAGCTGCCTAGCCACAACGTACCCTGTATGTATAACATACTCCATGCATGTATCATGAGAGAAACGGGCTTCGCAATAACGAAGCCAAACAATGCGAGGCTCGACGTTCGCTACCAAATAGGGCAGCGAGTGTAGCGCCTTGTACGGAGATGTGCATTGAGTGACTCAGGCGCAGCTGCTCTGCATTTAACTGCGCTCTACACTTGAGTGCTTACAACGTTACCCGCAGTGCACCACTTTGTCCGCGCGCAACGCGGTATTTAGGTTGTGTGGCTTGGCGCGGTCTCGCGGTGCACCACTTTGTCCGCACGCAACGCGGTATTTAGGTTGTGTGGCTTGGCGCGGTCTTACGGTGCACCTCTAAATCCGCACGCAACGCGGTATTTAGGATGTGTGGCTTGGCGCGGTCTTACGGTGCACCTCTAAATCCACGCGCAATTTGCTATTTAGGAACTGTGGCTTGGCGCGGTCTCAGAGTGCACCTCTTAATCTACGCGCAACGCCGTATTTAGGATCTGTGGCTTGGCGCGGTCTTACGGAGCACCCATAAATCCACGCGTCTTGCGGTGCAACACTTCGTTCACGCGCTATATAGTATTCAGGATCTACAGCCTAGCACGAAACTTATTTGATCTTAAGTGAAGCGCAAGCCAGAGGGATCAAATACTGCTTCCCAGCTTTATTTGAGTGCTTCAAGGGATCTTCACGCTACAGAATGCCTGAGCAGTCTGCAGCCTAGTATATGCTTTAGGCTGTCAAACCCCTGCAATATGCAGTGTTGGAAGCGCAGCTTTACAAGTCACACACAGAGTTACAATAAGATTGTGGCCAAGTAACAAGTCAACCAAACCATAAAGTTTTTAGGATTTCCTGTTCATCTGAAATAAAATAAATTGATTGTCTCTTATTATGCAATGTCTAAAGTTTTTAGTATATATCGATGACGAACTGAATATAATATAACAAAGCCCCAAATTAGGCAGCTTCGCACCCACATGCCTGGAGAATTTGACGTAAGGAACTCCTAAGCTTGCGCCAAAGACGCGTTGCGCGCATGCGCACATCAGACGCGCGCACGGGCGTCGCCGTTGCGCGGCTGTGCGTGATCACCGACTTCCTGCCGGATGATAGCAAGACGCAGTCACCGCAGGCGAAAAACTGCGGTAAAGGCATGCAGCCACAGTCGCAGACGAAAAACTGCGGTAAAGTCAGCCACAGTCGCAGACGAAAAACTGCGGTAAAGGCAGCCACAGTCGCAGACGAAAAACTGCGGCAAAGTCAGCTACATTCGCAGACGAAAAAACAGCAGAAAATTCGTCAAACGAAAAAATTTCCTAGAGTATATGTTTACTTTAATCAACGAAAACGTATCATCAACGTGATTGCCTAGTTCAATGTTTATTAGACTATTCTAATAATTCATTGATGCTAAGAATTTCATTTCGATCAAGTGTGAAAGAGGAAAATTACCAACAGCACCTCACGCATATAAATTGCATATAAATTGGTCAAACGAAATCTGATTGAATTGTTTCTTATTTTTCAGCATGGAACGAGAAGTTGAATCGCATATAGAAAACACGCCTATAAATTTCAACGAATTTCCGATAACTAATAACACGATTGCCTGAGCCCCGAATAAACTAGTCCTGCAGCTAGAAGTGCATGTATTTTTAATGGTATTAAGATTACAGTATATGTACCTATACGTTATATACTGCGCCTAATTAAATTATCACGAAATAACAACCAGTAACACGACTAGTACTAGTGAGTACCAGCGTACTTTTAAGTTATCAATTTTTCTTATTAATTTATTAAATCCACATGTAACGCCGCAGATTGAAAAAAAATTTATTCATGGTAATTGAATGAGTAGCAGTTGGTCATTCCGAGTCGAGTGGTCGTACAACGGCACAGCAAATGACATTAATTTATGATGAAGCCGATAATTGTCCCGACGCAAAAAGCATTTGTTATGGCGCTCCACAAGCTCGTCGTCGCACCAACAGCAAATCACTCAGTGAAATGAGGGAAATATTCTCCGAAAAACGATGCACTTTTTACCCTTGTGTCGATTATCCTGACCCAATTTTGCATAGCAGAATGGCTATCAAAGCTAGGTCCGCTCTCTGCTCGTGCAGTGCGTAGGAAAGTATGTATGTTATACGTTATTTAGACCTTCATAATGTCCTACTTAGACATTATGACCCGCACATTTCCCTCAGTGAAAGCCTTTAATTGGCGCCGGCGTCTGTAGTCATGTCGCCGGACGCGGCCACTGTTGAACAGCGGCCACGAAATAATAAATGCCCAATAATATTAATAATAAGAAATACCCATAAATAATAAATGTTAAATCAGTGGCACGGAAATAATAAATGCCCCAGGTTGTCCCGGGGTATAGAAATCTTCAAAATAATTTCTGTGCCTCGCAGAAATAAGAAGAATTAAGTTGGCTGAATTAGTCTTCTTTAGAGAAATTTAACAAATTTTCAACTTCGATTCACAATTTTCTTCTGAACGCAATGAATCATTAACGTATGCGTAAGGTTTATTATAAATAAAATATCTCGATATTTACGTGGGTTTATGAATCACAGTAAGTTATGAGTATAGTCAGTGGATAATAAATAGTTAGAGTACAGCCACTCAAAATGGAAGGATACATGACTCAGTCTGAGTCAACGAAGAACGGATGTTCAGGACAGAATACAAATAGATATTTTAGGAGCAATATACGTATAGAGGAAAATTAAATCACCTAATGCCGTAATTGTAGGCCAATTCACTTAAAGAATAATAGTTCTACATATAAAATAAGAACATTAAGAACATTAATTAATTAATAAGAACATTAGTTAATAGTAGATTCATTTTAGGCGGCAATATTTACTTTAAGACTAAGAAAATTAAGCGTTTTGCAACCGATATTTGCTTTATTATACATTGAAGAAAAAGGCCTCAAGCATAGCCTTGCGAATCAAGTTTCATGAATATTTGCGTGCTGTCACCAAAACTCTCAGAGGCAATAAGCAAATAAATGAAATTCAAATCGAAAGGTTAATATAAATTTCTTACGTAGAGATGACAGGGATACTTTTTAAACAGGCCCATTTTTTTACCTACATTCTCATAATACATACTTAAATATATTTCTCCTGGTTCTGGGATAATCTAAAATTGAACAATAACTAAAAGTTTTACACTAAACTTTTCGCGACTTTAGTCTAACGTGCAGCTAGAGATCTGACCTGAGGGTATCGGGAGCGAAGATGGCGTCCGGATCGTCAAGACGGGACGCAGATCTGGTAACGTGGGACCGAGTAAGGGAAGAAGGGGGTGAGGGTTCACCCGCCATGATGCGGTTCGTCAGGGTTTGGGACCGCTCCCTCCTGAGGGTCGAGTTTCGACTGCCAGGTTCTGGAGAAGGAGATGGGCTTCGACGTGTCGTGTTTGTGGTGGTCCCGTTACCAAGCACCGAGGAATTGATGTGGGATCCCGCTGACATGGCGGCGCCGCTGTCGGTTGTGGTGTTTCCCGCCACAGCGCCGACGCTGCCCGACATCCGGCGAACCAGTCGAGGACTTTCTAGTCCTGACCGACTGATAATCGGTTCACGGGCGACGCGTCGGTTCGGTGAGGAGTTCGGAGACGGGGATCGTCGTCGCGGAAGTACGGGAGACGAAGTGACTGCTCCGTAACTGAACGGCCTTGAGTCAAGACGTGTGTGGTAGGGAGTGCCTTCGTCGGCAGCACTCAGGGTCAAGGATGTGTCGAGCATCGAGTCGTGGTGTGACACGCCACCGTAGCCGTTCACGGGGCTCATCGTAGGACCAGACCGACTACTCGAGCTGCGCCCGCGGGTCGACGAAGTGTTCCAGGACAGATCTGGACACCTGATGGAGTTAATGTCTGGAGCTGGGCTTTGTCCCGGTCTTAGGTCCGGGATACTTTCAATATCGAGGAGCATACCGGCGAGGAGTTCATCGAGCTGCCGGGCGTCAACGCGCGACGAAGGCCCCCCGCGAGATGCCTGGGTGGGTCGAGAGGCTACAGCAGCAACAGGTGCCATGTTCAGCTGATTTGGGTCAGAAAATCTTCTGTAAACTTGTGGGGGTTGTTGACGGTGATCGTGATTCTGACAGTCAGCAGACGCCTGACAAGCCTGAAGTCGAGAGTGCTCTTGAACAGCTGTAGACGATGTGGACTGTCTATATGAAAGATGTGCGTTATCCTGGGGCGGGGCAGTGGACGTGGACGATGAAGACTGCTGCGGTTGAGACGATGCAGCAGGACTCACAGAAGACGTGGGAGGACTTAGAGGAGCTATGCTGCCAGCGAAACCAGAGTCCACGGAGGCAGGGTAGCGACCGTTCGCGTAGGCAGACGAGAGCGGCGAAGGCGTCGCTAGACTCGCGTGCTGCAGCGCGTGGGAAGGAGTGTGGGAAGATTGGTATTGTTGTTGTAGCTGCTGGTGTTGCTGTTGTTGCTGATGGTGAGGCTGAGAACCTTGGTGGTGAATGTGATGGTGGTGATGATGCTGAGACAAGTGATGCTGATGATGTACTAAATGTTGCCCTGTGGCCACCGGAGTATGATGAGTAGAATGTTGTTGTAGTTGTTGTTGTTGTAATAGTGACGGATGTTGCGGAGTGTGTGGAGTAGACCGACTATGCTGGCCAATATTAACACTTGAAAAGTGATCTTGTTGACTTCTAACAGGGGTCTGGCGGAGCAAGGAATACGAAGAATGGGGATGGTGAAGGTGATGGTCTAGTCTATGATCTACAGGGTACTGTAAACTGGACTCTGGATGTTGTTGCAACTGCTGCTGTTGGTCAAACTGTTGGCAAGATGAAGAGTTTTTGATGTTGTTGACGTTATTGATATCGCTGTTATTTCTCCTCTTGTTGACGGTAGCGTAGAGTGAGCCGTCCAGAGGGCCCAGGGTGTGAGGCACCGACTCGTGCGCCCCTGCAATAAAATAAAAATAAAGCTTATTTATAACTGGCAATAATCCCAAGAAAATGTAATAAATATTTTGAAAAACTTACATTTAACTGGAAAAACATAACGGGTAAATTTCCTACGAGGAACAAAACTTACTTATGATCTCAAAATAATATTGAGAGAACTTCCTTCTGCTGCGTCAAAATATTATAAAAAATATGTATTTTATCCAAATGATTATTACAGAGAGTAAATTATTGTACAATTATAACTATATCAATTTAATCGTCGATAACTCACGTACGTACGTAGAAATTTATTTAAACGTCGGTAAGAGCATTAATATCAACATCAATTTGTGGTACACGATTTAACATGAGAATCCATTATGGTGTAGTAAAATAGGAATAGTTTCTCTTCAGCAGTTGAGACTCATGTGTGTCAATTTTTTAGCTTTCAACTCTGTACATTAACTTTTCCGTCCAGATAAATTCAAAATGTTTGCCGGCAGAGAACGCGAATTTTTCTAACAGAAAAATCACGCTTAAAAACATACAAATAATTGGCACAGACAATGTGCAACAATTTTTTCAACAATACTATTAATTATTTCAGAGTAAATAAACGATGATGTCAGTCATGATGAGTTACTGTTGATTTAAAATTTTCCGTCGCATTTTCAACCTTCAATTTGTATGATCAAGTACAAGTAAGAACAAAGTGTGGGGGCAGCAACCATTGTACGTGTCGTAAGGCGTCTGCGTAAAGTGCCAGAGCCAATTATCTAAGAGCGAGCGCGCGCCATCGAACTTTGTTTTTAGGACATTCTTGTCGCGCAAGATGGGATAAGACTGTGCAAGATGGGCCAAGACCGGGCAAGATGGGGGACAAGATGGGATAAGACGGGGCAAGACGGGGCAAGATGGGATAAGACGGGGCAAGATGGAGGGCAAAACGGGGCAAGATGGGGCAAGACCGGGCAAGATGAGACAAGACAGGGCAAGATGAGACAAGACCAGGCAAGATGAGACAAGACGGGGAAAGATGGCACAAGATGAGACAAGAAGGGCAAGATGAGACAAGACCGGGCAAGATGAGACAAGACGGGGCAAGATGAGACAAGACAGGGCAAGATGAGACAAGACGGGGCAAGATGAGACAAGACGGGGAAAGATGGGACAAGAGAGAGCAAGGTGGGATAAGACGGGACAAGATTGGCAAACGGGCGTGGGCGCTTGCAAATTTTTGCAGTCGAGTCGATATTGGTGGCATAAATCGCACAGTGAGGCAAAATATCAAAGCAAAAACATTAAATTTAGAGAGTACACACAAAAACTGCGCCTTTTTTTACCCATGGGTCCATGAATTAATTGGGGGCTTCAGAATAAGCAGGAAAATTTTAAATATGCTTAGATTAATTTGTTTATCCCGCATTACACATAAATGTTTCTGTGTAGTATGGACTTTTAGCGATTGATAATAGCTAATATAAGAAATACATTGAATATTATAATAGTGGATGATAATACAATAACTATTTTCTAAAAAATAATGTATATGATTTATGAACAATGCTTATGAACCATGAACTTCATGCTTATTTTCCGGTCATATATACTACTGAGCTTTCTATAACTCGCACAAACTGCGTTCTGTAAATAAAAAAACGGGAAATTAGAGTAAATTTCATGGTTAAGTTGACTGCACTTGCCAGGCTCACACTTGAGGCTACGATGGTGTCAGCAGCAGCAGGTGACTCATAGTTTACCCAGAGCTAAGAGTTGTTTACAACCACCGCCTCCACCTCGCCTGTTTACCACACTAGCCTGCCGCTGTTTGCTTGCATCAGACCTTGACGAGTAAACACACTCCATGACGTCATAACTGGATCACGAGCTTCTTTATCCTTCAGCCTGGTTCAATTAATTTTTTTGCTTTTAACTCGCTAAATTTTCTGAAATTATCTGAATTCATAAAAAGAAAATTTTCCAGCTGAAAACGCCAACTTTGCAAACTTAAAATTAAATTGAAATACACACAAAAATAGCGCTCAGACGATGTGCAACGGAAAATCTTTTCAACAATTCAACCATAAGACTCACATTTCAGAGCAGATAAACTATAATATCAGTTTTATAGGTTACTACTTATTTAATCAGATAGTAATGGTAGCGGATAGATCACACCAGATGGTAAGGCAGAAGAAAATCTGCACAGAAGAGGGCGTCGCGACAAGTCGATGAGTTCACCGCCCTGACATCACAATCGATTAGTTCACCGCCCTGATTGCAGTCGATGAGTTCACCGCCCTGACAATGGCCACAAATCCACAACCTACAACCAGCATGAGCAGCGACATGGACGGTTAACTGATCGCGACATCGCAGTCGATGAGTTCACCGCCCTGACAATGGCCACAAATCCACAACCTACAACCAGCATGAGCAGCGACATGGACGGTTAACTGATTTGTGGAACCTGCTACAAGTCCTCACGCCATTGCTGCAGATATTTTATGTCGTGTTCTCGATAACTGTAGACCTAAATAGTTACTAGGGTTATCGCTGGTTGCTGTTGTAGTAAAAAATGGGGGGCCACCCCCGGGTTTTACCCCGCGTCTTTCGCGTATTGATACTTGTATCCTTACAACTTTATACTAGTAAGATGGTTTAGTTTATTGTAGTTTATTGTAGTTTATTGTAGTTTATTGATATTGATATTAAAATGTAGGGGGCACTGGGATATTCTGGTTCAGTTCTTTAGGAACTCGGGCATAAGCTGGTTAAGTAGGGCTGATAAGTATTGCAGGTTTTTGTTTGATACGTAGTGTTAAAAAAATTAGGATCTGCTTACAATGCTCTGCTAATTTTAAAGTCTCCAAATATTATTGAATGTGTAATAATGCAAAATATATTAATTGTTACAATGGAATATTACTTCTAACGAAGAAGTTGCCAAACCAATTAAATAGAAGCTTCTTGGCAAAAATAACCATATAAAAATGTTTCAAAACTCAAGGGCCAAACACCCTAACTATTCGAAGAAGATTTAATTAAGGTTGATTTAAAATTTCATTCAAAGCGCGTTCAATTATACGTATTACGTACTGGCCGATTTCTCGTTCGTGAATGGTGGGTTTAGCGTATAAAGCCGTCAGTGATTGGCTGACGGACTTCGAACACGTAACTTTTTTGATTGTTCGTCTATTCTTTTTAGGCAGAGCACTTAGAGAAGAATGCAAAATGACCGCTTTAGTTAGGCGAGCATTTGCATAACAATCGAAGCCTGTACTCGATACAAACCAGCCTTTTACTCGCTCCGGAAACTCGTAGCTAGGCGAAACCATGATGGAGTTAGTAAAGATGATACAAGCTCAGGCAAGGTACCTTATTATCTAAAATTTCATTGCGAATTGAGACTGGATTGAAAATTAGATTACAAACAGAAAGAAATGAAAATTAGATGAAACGAATAAATCTTAGATATAAAATTATATCAACATCGTTCATCAGTTAATCTAATTACAATTCAATTGAGCTGGAAACTTGCCAGCAGAAGATGTACAGTCAGAAAAATAATACCCCCCAATATAATTTATATTTATAAAAATATCAACAAGAATAAAATTAACGAACTTTCATTCATACTTGCATAACTATACAAAATTTCAGCAAACTGAACATTGAAATCGATACAAATAATTATAATCTTTCGTAACCCTTCAATTGAAGCAAGCGATACCCGCAAGTGTTGCGCAGTCGCGACGAGCGCCACCTATATATAAAAGTGCTACCTCAAAGCAACCCAAGTCAAATTTAACCTATGTCAAAATTTAACTATGTCAAAGTCAATCTAAGTCAAAATTACCCTATGTCAAAATTAACCTATGTCAAAGTCAACCTAAGTCAAAATTAACCTATATCAGAATTAAGTGTAGCAATGATGGCTAAATAGCCCCAGGACTTTCAGCACCCGTATTCCCTCCTCCATGTTGTTATTCTTCCAACCGTAAAAATACAGTCAATTAAAATACAAGTGAAATCACAATAAATCTCGAAAATGGCGCGCACGTATAAGCAGTAATGGTGAGAGTACGGAAATAGTTATTTTTCATTAAACTATTGAATTCATCGAAAGTAGGTACAAATAAATTCACGTGTTTTCCAGGAAGGCAAGAAAAAAACCGGGAGCAATAAGTATCCAATTCTTAACTGGAGATAACAAATCAGTTAGTGATCTACATTACGGTATTTGAAATATGTAGGTACTCTGTTGTACTCTATTTTTGACGTTTGGGCAAATGAATTTCCCTTTGCAATTCACTGTAAAAACTAGAGGCACAATGTGTCTAATTCATGAAGATGTGAGATGGGATCAAATTGCTCACTTAAGTAAATTTATACTGACCGAAAACCAACACGACTCTCATCCAGCGCGAGCCAACATTACCTTATATGGAACTGACCTAATTTACCTGTACAGCGGCCATGTTGCCATGAAGACTTCTAACTTAAGACTTGGATACAATGGCCAAATCTCCATACGCAGAGGACAGGGAGAGAATGACGGGTAATCTGCATGACGGTACAGTTGGTCTAAGAAACACAAAACACGATTGAATTCTGTTTTTCAATACCTTCACTGAATTGTTTCTTTGTAGTAACTTTTGCAACACATTCGTAACTGTCTTCAGCTTGACGAATTTTTTGGCCTCACGACGCGCGGATCAAACTGGACAGTTATTCGTGTTTACCGAGCTCTACAAAGAAGAACAAACTAATAAACATCAGCGTAAACTAAAGATGATGAAAGAACATAGATGATCACCGCAGAAACAATGTATTATCTTGCGTAATTTCTCAACTTGGAGGCAAATACTCTTGACGTCAAGTGTACTCGCACGAACCAGAGACATGACAATGCTCTGTAGCGCCAATAAAGGCAAGGAATCATCGCCATTTAAGAGCAATGGAACATCACTTCGTCCAACACAAAAGAGGGACGAGTAAAGGAGACCGTGCTAG